CTAATACTACAAATGCCTGAGAACTGAGGAGCTTTCCAAATCTCTGCTTTATGGCTTAGAGACCAGGTTGAATTACCAAGGTTTTGGCTCTTTGGTTTTGTTTTCTGTCTCACCATTTTTAGTCACATTTGTAATGCCTAAGCTCTAGTAATAAGAAATGTATTTCCCTAATTAAACAAAAGAAACAAAAAAAAATCAAATGAAGCTTTTTAACTCATTTGAGTCCATGCTCAGGTCCTTCCTCGTTCTGGTTTAAAACTCCATTATTAATAATTATAAATTTCCCTAGCTCTAATTGCATATGCATTCATAATAAGATAGAAAAACATAACAATTCTACTTAGGTTTATAAATCTTTGAGAAAACACTTCCTCAACACTAATCTGAACAAAATTATGAGTGAAAAAGAATGAGAAAAGCCACATGTATGACCTACCTTACAAAATGCTCTGTCACAATCTTTATTTAATAAGCCACTTCTTTTCTTCTTTCCTTACTTAAAGTAGAATAGTTTGGAGGCTACAAAACTGAAATCTGCAGTTTTTTAAGAGGATGCGTACAGCTAGCTTTCCACATTTAAAACCAAACCACAGATGACACATTTCCTTTCCGCTGCAACTCAAACACATGTCACGTGGGAAGGCAAAAACTTGAACCGCTCTAGTGGGCCACTGGGATGACAGGAGGCTTTGTAGAGCAAATCTCCACCCCCAGAATGGGGAGGGTTTTCCACTTCATTTCTTTTGACCTTTGGCTCATTGCTTATGCCTGCTGTCTGCTTTTGAAAATGGTATTATTCAATGGACGTTATGTGATGACATCTTTAATGTGGTATTGAAATCATTTTTATACTTTTTATTTTATACCACAGACAGATTTAAAAACATAAATGTGGAGTCAGATATTCATCAGATAGGAGAATCAGTCACACACATAACTGACATTTCAAGCTGGGAACTGCAACAGTGGTTTGGACCAGAGAATGCATGCTTGCTTGCTTGCTTGCTTGCTTGCTTGCTTGCTTGCTTGCTTGCTTGCTTGCTTGCTTGCTTGCTTGCTTGCTTCCTTCATTCCTTCATTCCTTCATTCCTTCATTCCTTCATTCCTTCATTCCTTCATTCCTTCCTCAAGACAGGGTTTTTCTGTGGCTTTGGAGCCTGTCCTGGAACTAGCTCTTGTAGATCAGGCTGGTATTGAACTCACAGAGATCCACCTGCCTCTACCTCCCAAATGCTAGGACTAAAGGCATGCACCACCAACACTTAGCTGAGCAGAGAATGCTTGCAGGGTGTGATATTTGCACAAGTTCTTCTGGCATCACTTTAGATTAGACATGTCTGAAATGGATCACATTATCTTTTCCCAAGACAATTGCCCCTGATGAACTCCTTGGCTCTGTAGATGATAACAGAGACCTAGATTACAACAGATCCTCCCAATTCATATCACACTTTGGAGCCTTTCAGATTCTTGGATTTACTTTTAATTTTACTGCCATTGTAGTGATGTACCTAGACTACTAAACATCTGTACTAGCCCCCAAGTACTTCAGATATTTTAAATATAACTCTTTGATCATATCCCTCTTTTTTTTTTTTTCAAATGAGCACCACACTAACCAACTGAGTTAATTGGACACTTCCTCGTTTCTTAAAAACAAGCAAACGAACAAAAAACTTTGAATTTACATAATTAAATTTTTAACTTGTTTTAATGAGTGTTGCATGTATAAGATACTGATCTCAGGCATCTTACCACAAAGCTCAATCCCCAGCCCTCTTTGTTTCTTTTACATTTTTTATTTATTATTACTATGCATATGCGCCCATGATATTGGTGCTGGGCAGGGGAGAGGCTACGTGTGTGTGCCATGGCACAGTTGTGAAGATCAGAGGACAACTGCATGAAATCACTCACCTCCTTCTTCCTTTATTTGGTTCTGAAGTCACCAGGTTTGCATGGCAAGCACCTTTACCTACTGAGCCATCTCTCTGATCCCCTCCTTTTTATTTTGAGTCAGATTTTCATTAAATTGCCCATGATGGCTTTGAACATTTTCTGAGACAGGTTCTTATGTAGCCAAAGCTGGCCTAGAACTCACTGTGTAGCTGAAGGTGACTTTGTCTTTGTGATCATCCTCCCTCCCTCCCTTTCTCCTTCCCTCCCTCCCTGTCTCCGTCCCTCTGAGGTGCTAGGATGGCAGGCTTGTAGCACCACATCCAAATGCCAGGGATTGAACCCAAACCTTTGTATATCCATTAGACAAGTACTCACCAACTGAGCAACTAAAAGTTGAAAAACTTGCCCATATTGTCAAAAATTATTCCAAAATACTTATATAAAATGGGATGGTTGTTTTAAAACAACAAAAATGCTACCCTCCCTTCATACATTCATATTCAGTTGCCCTGTGCTAGTACCAGCCATTTTATTTTTATTTAGCAAGCAGGACAGCTGGCTCCGACACTGATTGTCCACAGAACATGGCTTGAGAAATATGCAACATCACTTATTTCCCATCTGCATCTCTCAGAACTTATCTATGTGGACTTAATACTTTAGCTGTTGTTCATTTTACCTCTCTCGTCAAGTCTGACTTCTCTTTCTTGTTAAACTCAAACTTCTTCTGCCACATTCCACCACTGAATCTTCAGTGTATCTGCACAGCTTTCACTCACCAATTCATGTTGGTCTCTCATGTTTTTCTCGCTCTGTTTTCCCTCTAGTGAGTGATGTAGAACACATCATGCAGGCTGAACACCCCGTGTCTAAAGTTCTTAAGTCAAATGTGTTTGCAGTTTTAGTTTTCCTTCTGACTTCCCAATATTTACATCTACATACACATGCAATGAGATTTGGGGTGGATGGTAGTGAATACAAAACACAAAATTCATTTGCTTCATTTATACCTCATGCATATAATGGAAGGCGAACTTAGATTTCTAGTGTACCTAAGCTTTGAGTATTGGATTTGAATTCTACCCTGGCATCCTGAGGCACTCAGGAAGTTTTTTGCAGAGTAGGAATGCCCATCCTGTATTTTTTTCTTTTATCTTTTATTATCTTAAAATATTCCTTTCATCTTAAAAATAATTCAAGTTGTCATTTTACTTGAATTGAAAATTGTTACTTGAAGGTATTTATCATATCTCAGAGATAATCAAGAGATGGGAACAGTGGGCCTGAGTTAATAGTGTTTGGATCAGGGTCCAGCTCCTTATACTTCAGGGCTTCCTTACTGTGCCTGCTTGTGTTGATTAATGTTCTTTCAGTTCTAAGCAACATATGACTGTGGGGAGCCGAGGAAACCCTGAGTGAATGTGTGATGACCAAATGAAGTCCTAAGTGAATGAGTGAGTTGTTTGAATCCATTGGAACGGCAAAGCCTTCCCACCACCACCACCACCACCACCACCACCACCACCACCACCATACATAGACCCATGGTGAGGCTCACTAGGATGCAGAGCCTTCCTTTGGTCCCTAAGGATGTTGGCAGTGTGTGCAAAGATATGTGTTTACCAATAATTGACCAGTGTGTACCAAATATAGCAACTGCAGCTTTCTTCTCCTTCATCTGTAATGCTCAAGACTGTTCACCTGCAGAAGCCTCCTACTAAGACTGCCTAACCTGGCTGTATATAATAAACATCCTGAGGACCCAGGTTGCTGCAGTAGTTAGTGCTGCTCCATCAGAGCGTGCATAACCCACCTGACTCCAACTTTTCTGTATGTGCATCTGTGTCAGACCTTTCTTCATTCCCTCACTGCCCCAGTCAGGTTTTCAGGACCCAGCCAAGTGGATGTGGTATATGACCTAATGTGGTTTAACCAAAGCATGGAACTTATTAGCTTACACAGCTGAATAGTCTGGGGATAAATCTAACCATGGGAGAGATTATTATCTATGACTCAGATTATGGCCAAGACCCCAGACTGTCTTTTCATTTCTCAGCTCCTTCTCCTCAGGTTTTGAGACATGCTTTTCCATCATACAATTCCCAGGGCTATATGTTTTCTTAATCACAAACATGGGGGAAGGCTCTCCAAACCCCAACAATTTCAACTAGCCTGTGAACTGGGCCCCTGACTTTGCTGTCCTGACTTGAGTCTTTGTGTTCGTTGCCAAGCCACCTTCTGTTCAGGGTCAGGTAAATGGGTTGGCTAAAGCTTTGGGACATCTTTTCCAACCACTGGCTTCTCTGAGAAATGTGGTGCACTTAGGGGCCTTCAGCCTGTCCACTGCCTTCCTTCTTTCTACGTGGGAAGATTTGTTGTTATTTTCAGAATTCTTAAGGGATTCATCCCTTCTCTCTTTGTCCTTATTGAGCATAATATCTGGAAAATATAAACATAAATCTACACTTTGAATAATTGTTTTATATCATCGTCCTCTTTAGAAAGTTATTCAGGCCAGAGAGATGGCTCAGCCTTTAAAGGCTAGGCTCACAACCAAATATAGGAGAAAATTAATCATAAAAATTTTAAAAAGGGCCTGCGATTGATAGCGGAGAGGGGCTTAGTTCTGCCTCAATTCAGTATACCAGATTTTGTTGACTCCCCAAGGAAGACTTTACCCCCTCTGAGAAGTAGATCAGGTGTAGGAAGGGTGGGGGAGGGAGGGGGAACTGGGGTTGGCATGTAAAATGAAAAGTAAATCTTTTTTAGATAGACAGACATTGGATGGATGGATGGATGGATGGATGGATGGATGGATGGATGGATGGATGGGGCCCTACAGATGGCTCAGCAGGGGAAGGTGTTTTCATTGCAAGCCTGGCACCCTGAGTTCACTCTCCAGAACATACATGGTAAAGAGAGAGGGAATGACTCTGAATCTTCCACAGGTGTGCTGTGTTGTCTTCTGGCCTCCATATGCATACACCTGCTCACATGTGCACATACACATAACTAATAAAGGTAAAACAAAAGAAAATAGATTTATATTCTGTACATTCAGAAAGCTTAACAATGTTTATCCTTTTTGTTGCCTTTCCTAGGTTCAAAACTGGCCAAATCAATGGTGATTTGCTGATATACCATGTCTTGCTGACTTTAAAGCCATATTATGCAAAGCCATATGAAATTGTAGTGGACCTTACCCATACTGGACCTAGCAATCGCTTTAAAACAGACTTCCTCTCTAAGTGGTTTGTTGTTTTTCCTGGATTTGCTTACGACAATGTCTCAGCAGTTTATATCTATAACTGTAACTCCTGGGTCAGGGAGTACACCAAGTACCATGAACGGCTGCTGACTGGCCTCAAGGGCAGCAAACGGCTTATTTTCATAGACTGTCCTGGGAAGCTGGCTGAGCACATAGAACACGAACAACAGAAACTCCCTGCTGCCACTTTGGCTCTGGAGGAGGACCTAAAGGTGTTCCACAATGCTCTCAAGCTAGCTCACAAAGATACCAAAGTCTCTATTAAGGTAACTTCCCATCTGTTTTGAATGATTTATTGCTATTCTTGATCAAACAGGTTATAGTCTGACCTCAACAAGTCTTCTCAAGTTTCATATCTGATATCAGTTACATCCAGATGTTGGGAGACCAAGATTTCTGTCTTTATTGTGGTCCTGCAACAGGTGTGAAAAGTGCACACTTAAAAGACACTCTCATTAGGCAGTGGTGGCACACGCCTTTAATCCCTGAAACTCACTCTGTAGACCAGGCTAGCCTTGAACTCAGATCCACCTGCCTCTATATCCCAAGTGCTGGGAATAAAGGTGTGTGCCACTAATGATAGGCACAGAATTCTTGATCCTTTTTAAAGGTTAATTTTTTTTCTGATAGAGTTGATTTCTTTTGATAGTATTTATAAGTAATTGTTAAATAATGTAATATATAATAGTAGTAACATTTGAATGGCAAACATTGTGTGTGTGTGTGTGGGGGGTGAATGAATGAATTGTAGTATAACTGGAATTTAATTCTCTTCCTCCCTATCATTTTTCAGGTTGGTTCTACTGCTGTTCAAGTAACCTCAGCAGAGAGAACAAAAGTTTTGGGGCAATCTGTCTTTTTAAATGACATCTACTATGCTTCTGAAATTGAAGAGATCTGCCTTGTGGATGAGAACCAGTTCACCTTAACCATTGCAAACCAAGGCACACCACTTACCTTCATGCACCAGGAGTGTGAAGCCATTGTCCAGTCTATCATTCACATCAGGACCCGCTGGGAGCTGTCACAGCCTGACTCCATCCCTCAGCATACCAAGATTCGACCAAAAGATGTCCCTGGGACACTGCTTAATATTGCATTACTTAATTTAGGCAGTTCAGACCCTAGTCTACGGTAGGTATTTCTCTCTCACACTTTCTTTTTTCTTTTTTCCTTTAAGTTCAGTTCAGGTTAAATAGTGTATCACTGTTCACTAAGAGTGTCATTGTTTAGACAAAGAAGGCCTAAAGTTTAGTGACTCAAATGCATTACTACTTCCTACCTACTTTACTTTAGTAAAATTCTCTAAAGAAATTTTATGTTTCTCTTTTGCCTCAGTGGCTGAAGCAACATGACAAAAAGGATGTCATCTGTTGGAAAGCAACACAGAAAACACACACATTGTGTCATTGCTGTGGCCCTAAATTAGCCTTCAGGTGCTGTGGCCAAGTGCAAGACAGTGTATAGCTGCAGGGCTGAAGCAAAACAATTCTGGGACTTAGTGAATGGGGCACCTAAACATTGTCTATTGCAGATTCAGCTATGGATCCCATGAAGGAAAAACACCTGAACCCAGAAGGGCAGCTATGGTAGAAACTAGTACCATTGGCCCTAAAATAAATGTTCTGTTTTTAAAAATAAAGAAAAAAGAAAGAGATCTTTCCCTCCCTACCCCACTTTTCCCTCCCTCCTTCCCCCATTTTTCCCGTCTTCCCTCCCTCTTTAAATTTTGTTCCCTCTGAGCACCAGATAGTTGGTTCTATTTCGACATTGTGATCTGCTGTTAGCTGCCACGTCGGCCTGTAGAGCCAGCAGATTTGGCTTTGGTGTGGAGCTGCTATTTTTCACTTCTCATGCCTGAACTCTCCTTTTTGGTAACAGTAGCATGCCTTCCTAATGGGCCTGTAAAAGCTTGATAAGTAGCATTTGTTACCAGATAGCACAACACTAGCGAGTATTTTCTCCCATCCCTTTTCTCTCCTTTGTCCCCATTTCATTTTTCTTCCCTCTCCTTTTCATGTTTGGATGAATCTTAGATATCTTGGGAATGTCAAGATTTTGACTAATGAAGATTGAACATTCCTAATCTAAAATCCAAAATGCTCTAAAATCTGAAACATCTTACATACTTTGTCCAGAATTTATAACATGTCATTTTTTATTAAGATGGGTTCTCATTATGTAGCTCTGGCTGGCCTAGAACTTGCTGGGATTAAAGTCACTTACTACCACACTCAGTCCATTTCAGAGTTTTTTAATTATAGGTGCTCATTTTGCAAAATCTGTATAAATACTTCAAACCCAGACACACATCTGATCATGGTTATTTGAGATGAGAGATACTCAATTTGAATCAATTCTCAGACTCAGGAACTCTTAGGATATAGCATAGCTTAGGCTTCATATTGGACCTTTTAAGCTTTCAGGATTTCCTTTATTTAAAAGGAAAACTATGTCCAGTACCATGGCTCTGTGGTAAAGGAGTTCATCACCAAGCCTGACAGCCTGTGTTTGACTACCATTGTGGAAGAAAAGACTGACTCCAAAAAGTTGTCCTTTGACCTCCTTGTCTGTATCCTGGCACATTTGTGTCTGCACATACACACATACACTCACTCACTCTCTCTCTCACACATACACAGACACACACACACACACACACACATACACACAGACACACTCACACACACAGACACGCACAGACACATACACACACAAATGAAATTAAAAATTTAAGTCAGATATGGTAGCATATACTTTTCACACCTGAATGGAAGATACACACACAGATGCATCTCTGTTAGTTCTAGGCCAGACTGGTGTACGTAGCAAACTCTGGGACAGCTAGGGCTACATTGTGAGACTCTTGTCTTGGGGGGCAGGAGGAAAGATTTTAAGATCAATAATCAAATGAATTTTACTTATAGGCTTCATGGAATCCCAGAAATGGCTCACTAGATTTTATGTATGCTTAGCTTCTCTTATCCTGGAAGGCTCTCTGATATAATACTCCAGATTACGGGGGCCCAGGTGTATTATTTTTGTTGTTTTTAATGATTTATTTTTATGAGCATTGATGTTTTGCCTACATGTGTGTCTGTGTGAAGATTGTCAGATCCCCTGGAACTAGAGTTACAGACAGTTGTGAGCTGCCATGTGGGTGCTGAGAAATGATCCCTGGTTCTCTGGAAGAGCAGCTAGTGCTCTTAACTGCTTAGCCATCTCTCCAGCTGGGGAGTCCAGTTTTTATAGCCCTTAGATAGTATAAAATAGCATCGGCATAGTATGAGTTTCTGTAAATCAATGAAAGATAAATAAATTCATAAGCAGTGACATTAGTGTCCTTATTTTTAGGATAACTGAACTATGAGCCTGGTTTTACTTCTCAATTCTGAATAGTTTTTCATTATTTATAGATCAGGTTTTCTGGTTTTAGGGGTTGGGTCTTTCTAGCCTGGAATTTACCATCCTCCTGCCTTGGCCTCCTCAATACTAGGATTACAGACCTGTGCTACAATGCCTTGCCCTCTGACATCTTTGTTAACTAATGCCAATGTATCTCACTATTACTAGTTTGAGTGAAATTGTACCATTTTTCTAGTGATGAAGCAAGCAGATAATTTTCACTTGTTGGTAAAGCAGAGGAAAAAAAAAACACTTAGGTAAATACATTTCCGTGGCTTTTTTCCTTCTATGTCACAATGGCAAAAATTCAGAGGTAATGAAAACCTGAAATTTCCTGAGTAACCCAGCAGTTTGTTTTGCTGCATTTTAAAATTGAGCTTGATATTTGTTACTTGGGATGGGATGGGGTGGTATGGGATGGAGTGAGATGGGGTGAAATTAGGAATGGGGCCATTATTTGGAATGCTAGGGATCAAATCTAGAGCCTCACACATATAAGATAAATAACTCCACTACTCAAGTTCTTTAAACTTTTCTGATTTGCTTAAATATGTCTCTATTTATTTACAGCTCATCTTTTTTCTTCTAATAGACCCTAGATAAAGTATGATTGGTTTCAATGGTTATATATAATAGAATGAGGTCACAGAGTGGAAGATGTGACTATATCTTTTTAAACTACAGTTAACAGTTTTAACCTCTAGTTGGCAGTGAAAATTGTAGGACACACAGGCACTTCAGGGATATCCTTACTTCAACATACCACATTATAATTTGATTAAATGCTTCCTTTTAAAAGATAAAATAAAGATCTCACTGACTGTCCTGGAATTCTCTGTGTAGACCAGGCTGGCCTCTAACAGAGATCCACCTGCCTCTGCCTTCTGAGTGCCAGGGTGAAAGACGTGCACCTTCCAGGCTTCCTTATCTCTTATTCTCTATTTAACTGTATTGGCCAGAGAGTAACTGGGAGCAGAGTTCTGACTTTACTGAAAACACCTTTATTCTGTCATTTGTTCCTATTGATCCACTAGACCCAAATCTTTGCTGTTTATGTTCCTGTAAAAGTTTCTAGAAAGGCCTACACCTGCCTTCCTGTCTTAGGAGGGAATCTCGTGGCTCTTATGGCACTGATGTCATGAGTGTCTTGTTCCCAGCTTGCTCTACATTATGCCTCTAGGCGATCGTAACATTGAAAAAGAATTGAGTGTGCTTTGTAATTAAATTTTGAGTTATATGTTGTGGGGAAAATGGAATTTCAAAGAAAAAGGAATTTTAAAACAATCTCCTTTGTATTTTCTCTTAGGTCTGCTGCCTATAATCTTCTGTGTGCCTTAACCTGTACCTTTAATTTAAAAATTGAAGGCCAGTTACTAGAGACATCAGGGTTATGCATCCCTGCCAACAATACCCTCTTTATTGTCTCCATCAGTAAGACGCTTGCAGCCAATGAGCCACACCTCACCTTAGAGTTTTTGGAAGAGTGTATTTCTGGATTTAGCAAATCTAGTAAGTAATGATTTTCTTTAATAGTCAAAATGATGCTAAGACAATTCAAAGAAAACTTTTTTGTTTGAGAACTTACCAGTGATCTTTCACTTACTATATTTTAACTTCTTAAAAACTTTCCTCCCCCCCCCCTTTTTTTTTTTTTTTGGCCTGGGTACTCTGTAGCTAAAGGAATTCTGAAAGAAAATCTTGGTGGGATACACAGAGAAATCAATCAGAACTCTGGCAGGAAGCACAGGGAGCAGGTGGGACCCTCTTGCCTATGGGCTGCTCGAAGGATTTCCTTCCTTATTTCAGCTTTATGAACTTGAGCATTTCTTTTCATAGACAAGAATTGCACACATCTCCTTGATTTTAAGGAAATAGTTACTTGTCTTTTCTATAGTTGACTTTGAACTGTGGTTTTTATTTGACATTGGTGTTTCCTAAAGAGTGTCATGGTGGATAATGCTAGATCCAGAACCAGCCTCAATTTTGTTTTAATACGTCCTGTTAGTTTACTGTCTACTCTTTTTATCTGCCGCCTCCATCTCCTGTAGTAGCATAGGTGATGTTCTTTGCCTGGCCTCCTTCATTCCTGTCATTTTCTTCTCTCCTTCTCCCTGTAATAATACATGCAGCTTTTTCCTCCCTGCTTTCTCATTCAAACACATTTCTTAATATTTCAGGGTTAGGTGATTAAATGCTTTTAACAAGTCATCATGAATATATCAGATCTGTTTTGTTGTGGTTTCTTGTTTGTTGATTGGTTGGTTTTTGCTTTGAGGGACAGGTTAGTTTGTTTGATCAAATGAAAGATATAGGAGTACAATTCTTGATAAGAAATTATAAGTCTGGCAAAAGAAGAAAAGTACAAAGCTTTATTAATAACTACAAATGCTTGAAAATATTTGAGTGAACAGGCATGTTGTGTTCCTGCATAAACAACTTTTCTGAGATCATTTCAGATTTAATGCAACCCCATTAAAGTAAGCATGGAATTTGAAATTTTCAAATGCTATACAAAATAAATAACTGAGAAAATGTTGAAAAGAAAGGAAGTACAGACTTGATATTACGGATGTCTTCACGTCTGTGCACATTTTAATAGCTTGGTAATCAAAACACGGATGTCCACAAGTCAGCAGACAGATCCATTTAAGAGAAGCAGACAGCTGAAGCTTCACAAACTGCTTGGGGAGATGGAATTCATCTAAATGAGTTTGGGAAATGAATTAAGTTAGGCCATCTACACTAAAAGATACCAAAATGACTTCTGGCTATATTTAAGAGTTGAATATAAATCTAGAAGCATTAATGAAAGAGGTGAGTGCATAGTTGCCTTTATGTGAGTAGAATGGATGAAACAAACACAGGATAGAAGCAAAGTAAATGATGAACAGATTGGCTTCCTGAGACTTTGGAATGTCTCTACAAAAAATAAAACAAGGCTTCTCTGTCTACCCTGGCTGTTTTGGAACTTGGTCTGTAGACCAGGCTGGCCTTGAACTCAGAGATCCACCTGCCTCTGCCTCCCTAGTCCTGGGATTAAAGGTATGCGCCACCACTGCCCAGATGAAGAAATAATTTTAAAAGTCAGTAAACTGAACCAGGAGTAGTACTGCACACCATGCCTGATCTACAGAATAAATTCCATGATAGCCAGGGCAACAGAGAAACCTGTCTCAAAAAAACAAACATAAAATTGTACTAAAACATATACAGCATAAAATTTAGCATTTTAACCTTTAATTTTTTTTTTTTTTTTAAGATGAGGTCTCTTTACATAGCTCTGAATGTCCTCAAACTCATAGAGTTCTACATGCCTCTGCCCCCCTAGTACTGAGATTAAAAGCATGCATATACCACCATGCCTGGCCATTAACATTTTCTTCCCTTTTTCTAACTGAAACTTTGTATCCAATCACTTTTAATGTCATCATATTATTCTATAGTATGGAGCAACTTAATTTGTTTGCTTGTTTGATTTTTCAACTCTTTTTTTTCTATTAAGTAATGTTTTATTAAATTCAAAAGTAGGCAATGTAAATACATGGCAATGGATGTCATGAAAGGTCACTTTTGGTGAGGGACAATATTGAGTGAGAGCGGGTTCTGGACATCTAGAAGATAATTTCATAGTGTACTCACCATCAAAGCTCACCAATTAATACCTATACCTACTCACTTTAATGTCCACACACTTTACTATAACAAGATACACCTTAGTTTTAAAACATCAACATAAAAAAGTATGCTACAAACATCTCACCTGTGTGTGTGTGTGTGTTTGTGTGTGTGAGTGAGTGAGTATGTGTGTGTGTGTGAGTGTGTGTGAGTGTGTGAGTGTGAGTGTGTGTGTGTGTGTGTGTGTGTGTGTGTGTGTGTGTGTGTACGTACTACAAATCTTTTCTTTCAACCTCCCCTCCATTTCTTCATGATAAAATCATTGCTGGGGCTACAGAGGTGGATCAGCAGTTAAAATTACCAGCTGCTCTTCTAGAAGTCGTGGGTCTGATTCCCAGGACCCATGTAATGGCTCACAGCTATCTGTAACTCTGATCCCAGGGTATCAGTCAAGCATGTGGTACACAGATACACATGTACACAAAATACTTATACACATAAAAAGTAAAATTATTACAATTTTCATCGACTATCTGTACTAATGGAGTATTTTCTCCACAGGTATTGAATTGAAGCACCTTTGTTTGGAATATATGACCCCATGGCTGTCAAATCTAGTTCGTTTTTGTAAGCATAATGATGATGCCAAAAGACAAAGGGTTACTGCCATCCTTGATAAACTAATAACAATGACCATAAATGAGAAGCAGATGTACCCTTCTATTCAAGCAAAAATATGGGGGAGCCTTGGTCAGGTATTAAATTTGCACTGATAATTATCTAGTGCTTCCTTATGCTAGTAACTCTTGGTGCCCATATTACACAGACCACACTAATCCCCTTCAGAAGCATGCTGACACAACCCTGTGAACAGCTACGCATTTCAGAGTTCTCCTTGCAAATAGTGTTTAAATATGTACCCCAGTCCCTATACACCACAGATCTCAACAAATGCTTTTTAATGCTGTTGTTCAGAATATCTGGTTTCTATAATTGTAGCATAGGCTATGATACAACTTTCCTTTATCTGACAAGAGAGATGCATACTATCCCTTCAGAATGATCACTCATGGAAGCATATCCTTACTGAGACAATGCTGTGAATCCTCTAAATGATTTTAAATTACATTGGAGCTTGTTTCCTGGCTGAATGATGTCATTAAAGTAATTAGATTGGTCATGCGTTACTGTCTTAGAAGACCAGAGATACTTTCTAAGCAGCTGAAGATTGGCATGTACATATGTTTAGACTCTGAATACTACTCTTCCTCTTGCATGGATGGTTTACAGGTCTCTAAGTCTAGAACTTTGAAAAGCTGTGGGAAACAGGATGTCTCTGCTTCTTGGGCTCCTCTGAGTGTTTCTTATTAAAGGTTAAGCAATCAGTGTGCTTGAAAACAACAAGACTTTCCTTGTTTCACCAGATCACAGATCTGCTGGATGTTGTGCTTGATAGTTTCATCAAGACCAGTGCTACAGGAGGGTTAGGTTCTATCAAAGCTGAGGTGATGGCAGATACAGCCGTGGCTTTGGCTTCTGGAAATGTGAAATTGGTGTCTAGTAAGGTAACCACTTTTTCTATACTCTCTTGGACTGTGCCATAGTTTTTCTATTTATCATATTGAGAGTTTTTCTCTAACTAGCCAAGGTTTAAACTCATTATTTATTTATTCATTAATTTATGAGAAAGTGGGGGTATGGGTGTATGTGTGTGTACATATATAGGCTGTGGCTTACATGTAGAAGTCAGAGGTTAACTTGTGTGAGTCAGTTCTCTCCCTTCACCAGATGGTTCCCAAGTATCAAACCCAAGATAATGGGGCTTGGCGATGAGCACCTTAGCCTGATGAGCCATCTTATCATCCCTGAATTTATTTTTTAAGATTATCTATTTTTCTTTTATGTATATGTATGTGTACCACATGTGTGCATTGTCTGCAGAGCCCAGAAGAGGGTATTAGATCCTCTGGAACTGCAATTGCAGATGGTTGTGAGCTGCCATGTGGGTGCTGGAAACCAAAGTCTTCTGCAAGAGCAGCAAGTGCTTTTAACCTCTGAGCCATCTCCCCAGCCCCCTAAACTTTTTTTGTGAAGAAACTATTAGTTTCATGTTTTAAAAACATGTTCTTCTTTACAGGTTATTGGAAGGATGTGTAAAATAATTGACAAGACTTGCTTATCTCCAACTCCAACTTTAGAACAACATCTTATGTGGGATGATATTGCTATTTTAGCCCGTTACATGCTGATGTTGTCCTTCAACAACTCCCTTGATGTGGCAGCTCATCTTCCCTATCTCTTCCATGTTGTTACTTTCTTAGTAGCCACAGGTCCCTTGTCCCTTCGAGCTTCCACACATGGATTGGTTATTAATATCATTCACTCTCTGTGTACTTGTTCGCAGCTTCATTTTAGTGGTAAGTTCCTAGAAGGTAATCTTTTGTTTTGTTTTTCAAGACAAGGGAAGGTTATCTTTTTGACTAGTTCATTTCTTAGCTGTACCTTACCTGACTGCTGTAGGTTTCTTCCTTTGATGGTATCATCTCAATTAGCTTACAAGCAGTAATATGAAATTCTATCAAACAAGAAAATAATTAAAATGACTTCCATGCCATGGCAAGCTATAATAAAGGCTTTCTATGTTTGTCACGCAGATAGTTGTAATTGTCATATAACCTAAGAGCTTATTGTAAGCTGATAGTGTTGTGTTACTAGTGCCAGGATGTTATGTAGCCACTAATTTAATAAATACATCTAAGAGATTGAACTTGGGAACCATGGTTATGTGATTTTTGTATGATATTTAAATTTTCTTGAATTCAAGGTGAAACATATCACTTTAGAAATAAAATAATGATATTTTCTTTTTCTTTTACAGAAGAGACCAAGCAAGTTTTGAGGCTCAGTCTAACAGAATTTTCATTACCCAAATTTTACTTACTGTTTGGCATTAGCAAAGTGAAGTCAGCTGCTGTGATTGCCTTCCGTTCCAGTTACCGGGACCGGTCTTTCTCCCCAGGCTCCTATGAGAGGGAGACTTTTGCTTTGACATCCCTGGAAACGGTCACAGAGGCTTTGTTGGAAATCATGGAGGTATAGAAGGAAAAACAACAAACTACATTAAAATCATATTTAAAGTATGTAATATGCAGGGTGTTGTGGCACAAGCCTTTAAAATCTTAGCACTCAGGAGACAGAGGCAAAATCTCTGTAAGTTTGAAGCCAACAGAGTCTATGTAGGGAATTCTGGGCCAGCCAGGGCTACATAGTAATACCTTGTCTGAAAATAATTTTGTAATATATAGAAGAAGTACTCATTTGTTCTCTATATTACACATAGAACTGAAGATACTTCTTCAGAATTTGTTCACATCTTAAATTAGATTTATTTTACTTTATGTGTATGAATGTTTTGCCTACATGTATGTATGTGCACCACATGTGTGCCTGGTGCCTGAGGGCCAGAAGAGGAGGACATCAAATTCCCTAGAACTGAAGTTATAGATGGTTATGAACCACTTTGTGGATTATGGGAATAGAACCTATATCCTTTTCAAGAACAAGTACTCTTAACTGCTGAGCCATCTCTCCAGTCCCTGGAATGTATTTGGTTTTTTGTTTTTGTTTTGTTTTGGTTTGGTTTTTTGGTTTTTTGGGTTTTTTTTTTTTTTGGTTTTTTGTGTTTGTTTTTTTTTAACGCCAATATCACTTAATGACATGATGAACATTAAATATTTCTAGAAACATTTATATCCACATCTATTCAGAGTATCCTGTTTTTCAGGCATGTATGAGAGATATTCCAACGTGCAAGTGGCTGGATCAGTGGACAGAGCTAGCACAAAGGTGTGTCCTAAGTCAAATATAAATTGTAGAAGTCTGTGTATTGTTGAGAATAGCTGTTGCAGCATAGACAGCCTTGTATTCACTGTGTGTGTAGACACAGAGGCTCTCATCAGTTCTTTGGCTCCTTTGATCGCAGGTTTGCATTCCAATACAACCCATCGCTGCAGCCCAGAGCTCTTGTGGTGTTTGGCTGCATAAGTAAACGTGTATCTCATGGGCAAATAAAGCAGATCATCCGAATTCTTAGCAAGGTACTTACTCCGCCTTTCCCAAAAATTTGTTCCAAACTACAAAGTATAACCTTTCAGTTTATACAAACAGTTAAAATGCAATGAAATGCCCAGTGGTGGTGGCACACACCTTTAATCCCAGTACTCAGGAGGCAGGGGCAAGCAGATCTCTGTGAGTTGGAGGCCACCCAGGTCTACAGAGTAAGTTCCAGGATAGCCAGGGTTGTTACACAGTGAAACCTTGTGTCAAAAAACAAAATGTAATTAAATATATATTTTTAAACAATTTTTTCCTTACTGTAATTATTTGAAGTGATAAAATCTTGTCAAAAGAAAAACACCTGTAAGATCACCATGGTGGCGCACGCACCCCAGCACGCTGGATACAGGGGCAGATGGATTTATGTGAGTTTGAGGCTAACCTGGTCTACATAGTGACTTTCAGGACAGCCAGTACTGCATAACGGAGAGAACCAGTCTCAAAAATAACAAAAAAACAGAAAATATCTTTTAAAAAGAATCTTGCACTCTTTTCTAATCAGGTATACTTTATAGTCTGTTCCCAAAGCCTTATAAAACCACACAATTTATAAATAATATAGTAATGCCCTCCTTAATAGGGTGCAATATAGAAATATTTTTAAAATAAGAAGCCAATTATACAGTGTTCACCATTATTAGAAATTGTTTGTTAAATACCTGAATGTTTCTCAGCTAAATCTGAGATTCATTGTAGGAGCTGATGTTTTATTTCAATGAAAAGTAAAATAAAAATTTTTGTTTTCTTAAAAGGCACTTGAAAGTTGCTTAAAAGGTCCTGATACTTACAACAGTCAAGTTCTGATAGAAGCTACAGTAATAGCTCTAACAAAATTACAGCCACTTCTTAATAAGGTAATTATTGTATAGACCATGAATTTATTCATTTTGGGTATTGTTACTATGTGTCCTTTTCTTGTACAGATTTTAGAAAATAAGGTGGACTGAAAAGACGTTATAAAGAAGAAATTATAGTCAAAGTGGTGCATCTTGTCATAAGAGTTAGAAAATACAATGACTGGCCTAGCATGGTGGCAAACACTCATGAAGTAGAGGCAGGTCATTCTCTGAGTGTGAGGCCTGCCTGGTCTACATAGCAAATTCCAGGACAGCCATGGCTACATAGAGAATACTTGTCTGAAAGAGAAAGAGAGGGTTAGGGGAGAAGGAGAGGAAGGAGGAAAGAAAATTGAAAAGAGGTTGTAAAGAAGGAACTGTAGGAAAGTGTAACCTCTGTCACATGAGTTAGTTTGTGGTAAAGGAAGAGGAAATATAGTGTCTTTTCTCCTGGGCTATGTGTTGTGATACATTTTTTTTTCTCTTTGATAGTCAAAAAGACAGGTATAAATTCTTAATTCTTTCATCAAATAAAGTCTTCATTGAGCATCTTCTGTGTATCTGATAGTGCTTAGAGATATAATAAACAAAGTTAATAGAGAAGTGGACAAATAAAGTCAGTAAACTACAATTTAGTGTTAATTAGTGATTATACTATAGAGAAATGTAAAGCCAGAAGAAGTAAGTATGCCTGGTCACCAAAAAGAGTTTGTATGTGGGACTAGGGGCATAATGGAAGGTATAGCACTTGCTTAATATGGATAAGACCATGGTTTCATTTCCACTGAGAGAGGGGAAGGGGAATGAAGTAAGGATGAAAAGCTGAAAGGGTAGACTCTAACTGGAAATAGAAATAAGTAGGACAGTGGAGTGTTGAATAGACCATTCTAGTAGAGAGTTGATAGATTGTAAAGTTGGGTAGAATTAATCCAAATTCAATGGTCTTCAGGAAGGAGTTCGGAAATTATTATTTCCTAGTAGACAATATGATAACAACAGGGCATAGGTGGCCCAGAGTGCACAGTAGATCAGAGAAAAGAGGAACTGCAGGCTGCAGGAAGGTTAACTTTGGTTCTATATGTAGTGGTAACCAAGAAATGACAGGTGTCAAAAAGGACTGTAGAAGAGTCAGCGAACTCTAGGGACTAGGTTTGGCATCCCTAATTGGGAGAAATCCCAGAGGAAGCTCAGGCTCTTAGCCTAGCTGATGATATTTTTAATTAGACACATGGAGGGGACCGAGTGCTTATCTGTCCATTCATGTTCCCCAAAGGAGAGAAAACACAGGAATTTGGTAAGGTAACCTGCTTTGTGCTAGATACAGAATGCATAGAAGAGATTATTTATTGGTTTGCCACACTAACCTGCAGTGTGTCTCCTTTGCTAGGACTCACCCCTGCACAAAGCCCTCTTTTGGGTTGCTGTGGCTGTGCTGCAGTTGGATGAAGTCAACTTGTATTCAGCAGGCACTGCACTTCTGGAACAAAACCTGCACACCTTAGATAGTCTCCGGATATTCAATGACAAGGTGAGTGGGCTTTCCTCTGAGTTCCACATTGTGCACAGTGAGTCTTCTTTTCCTTCTGTTCTATGATTCTCTAGAAATTAAAAGTGGTCCATATTTAAATATCAATTGAATGTATTTTTTGTAAGTATAGTTCCTTAATAGGTCACTAAAAGCTATTTAATCCATAGTTCCTATATAAAAATAGCCAAAACAATATGCCTGCTCTTAGTGACTAGAGTAGTAATAAACAGGGCTGGAAGGATGGCTCAGCAGTTGAGAGCATTGGCTGCTCTTCCCAGTGCCCATGTGGCAGCTCACAACCATCTCTAAGTCTAGTCTGAGGAATCTGGTGTCCTCTGAGGCCTCCTTTGGCACTGTATCCACATAATACACAAACACACATGCAAGTAAAACACCCATGCACGTAAATTAAGTAAAGACATGTTTTCTTGATTTTAAAGTAGTACTGAGGAGTAATAATAGCTACCACACCAAGGCCTATGCATTCATTTCACTGATTTTCATTCTCCATCCCTCCCTTGAAGAGAAATGAACTGAGCTATGGGGAAACAAAATGTAACCTAAATCTGAATATACCTGGTCTAAAGTACTTGTTCAGTTTGGGTACAGACCCAAAGCAGCTGGAAGTCTAGGAAGTGTAGAAACAAAATGATAGGTAGAAGACATCTTGACATTTATCAGTCAGACCTCTGTTCACAAAAAGGAAAGGAGTAAAGAAGTTAAGTGCCTGGAATATGTCTGTTTCTGAGCTAGCCCCTTCTTTCCTAACTTCATTGTTCTGCTCTGGCTTGTCTTGAGATAATGGTGGTTTCCAGTAGTGGCTAGCTATTGGCTGTTTGTATTATAAGAATATTTACAGATAAAATAGATGTCTTTAAAGCATCTGCCTTGCCATGTTTTTTTTTTTTTTTTACATGTATTTATTTGTTTGTTGGGATGAATGCATGTCACAAATGTATGGAGGTCAGAGGACAACTTGTGGGAGTTATCTCTCTCTTACCATGTGGATTCCAAGGATAGAATTCAGGTGATCCAACTTGGTAGCGAGCACCCTTAACCACTGAGCCATCTCATCAGCCCCTGCCTTGCCATTTCACTTCTGGAACATCACAGAAGAAGGGACTAACCTTAACAGTGGGGCCCCAAAGTACTGGGAATCAAGTTTAATAAAACTTTATTGAGATCACTAGAATATTCTCTGGGATGGTAGAGTCAGAGTAATAGTGCATGCCTCTAGGTGTGAGACTAATCTTGACAATGGGGCTCCAAAGTACTGGGAATCAAGTTTAATAAAACTTTATTGAGATCACTAGAATATTCTCTGGGATGGTAGAGTTAGAGTAATAATGCATGCCTCTAGGTGCTGTTACTTGAGAGGCTACAGCAGAAGTTTTAAACCTACATAGGCAACATAGTGAATCTCCATGTGAGTTTGATAGCAGTTAGCAGTCAAAAGTAGCTGGGTATTGTGACTGTTGGCTATATAATCTTAGCACTTGAGAGGTATAGACAGAAGGTATTAGCCAGCCTTTGCTACATAGCAGGTTCAAGGTCAGCCTGGTAAAGATGGGATTCCATTTCCAAAGACCAAACACAAAAAGTAATAGCACAAAAATTGTGTATTGTGGGGCTGCAGATATAGCCCAGTAGTAGAGTGCTTGCCTAAAATGCCCAAGGCCCTGGGTTCAATCCCTAGCACCCCATTTAAGTACACATGTGGATCATGTGTTGTAAAGCAAGGCAATTTGAGTTTTCCACTGTCTTATTACCTAAATGTTTTTTATGGGGGTCTCTAGAAATTTCTCTCAAACTGAAAAACTTACTTAGTGTGACATAACTTTTCAACACACAAAAAAGTTTTTAAAACCAAGCGTCTGAGCCAGGAATAAATAAATATATAAATGTGTGTGTGGGGGGGGGGGTGTCTTAGTAGACTTAGGGTTCTAATACTGGAAAATAAAAGGGGAATACTTGTGTGTGAACTCCATCAACTGTCTATTTCCTAATTGCTTTAATAGAGTCCAGAAGAAGTATTTATGGCAATCCGGAATCCTCTGGAATGGCACTGCAAGCAAATGGATCACTTTGTTGGACTCAATTTCAACTCTAACTTTAACTTTGCACTAGTTGGACACCTCTTAAAAGGTACAAATTCCTTTTGTCAGAATGTTTCATGAGATAGTATCAAGAAGCCAGAAATAACTAACAGAAGTTAATTACTTGAGGTAAATTGACATAATCTAACCCATATGTTTTACTTTAAAATGAAAACCATATCTGCATGAGTTGTTTCAGTTAGTAAATACTTAACTTGAACCTAATTTCCATGTCAGATCTTAAAAGAGCAAAATAACTGATAGTAAAATTCCTAAGTACTGAGCACTTAATTGCTATGTTATTGGTTAATAGTATACTGCATATTTATGTACCGATTTAATCCCAGAAGGTTTAGGAATTAGCTCAGTTGTAGAATCCTTGTTCAAGGTCATGGATTCAGTCTCCAGCATTGCCAAGGAATAAAAGGGATTTCCATTTTAGTGTGCATTGATGTTCAGATATGATCATAGGTACTCTAACTTTGTTCTTTATCAGCATTTGTACTATATACAAGTTCTCATAGTACTGTGTACTATAGAGCCTCACCATTCTGGTACTGCTCTTCAGATTTCATTAATGTTTTTATAGCCAACCATCTCTACTAGACTGGAGCTAATTCACTTTCTTACCTAGCTTTAGCTGCTCATTGCCAACTTCATAGCTTCATAGCCATGCATGCTCTTTGAAGGTGGCCAGCTTTTTATAAAATAAATAAATATGTGTTAAAGTAGGCATAGTTGTATACACCTTTAATTCCAGCACTTGGGAGACAAGGCAGATAGATCTCTGTGAGTTTGAGGCCATCCTAGTCCAGAGCTACATAGTGAAACCCTGTCTCAAAAAACAAAAACAAGAACCCAAGCCAAAACAGGGAGGAAAAAAGAAAAAGAAGAAGTTATTTTAAAGATTTGCTTACTTTTATTTTATGTGTTTTGAGTGTTTTGCCTGTGTGCATGTATGTGAATACCTTGTTACCTAAGGTGGCCAGAAGACACTGGATCCCCTGGAACTGGAAGTGAAGTGGTTGTGAGCCACTCTGTAGATTGTAAGAACCAAACTCTTGTCCTCTGTAAGAGCAACCAGTGCTCATAACTGCTAAGCCATTGCTCCAGCCCTAAAGAAGAAACACTTTTTAATAGAGCCCTTATTGCAAATGAAATCTCAGGGGGAGCTCTAATGCTTAGTTTTGTTTGTATTTATTTCTAACCTCTGTGCTTCCTTAGGAAATGAAAAATCAGTAATGCCTTCGTTTTTCCTAACACCCTCTCCTTTAGGGTTTCAGGGACCATCCTCTTCTATAAGTGCTGGGTATTTAATCTTATATATCATTAACTTCACATTTTTATGTTTTTCCTTCACAAATGGATATTTTTGGATGGCAGGAATTTCCTTTTCTTATAGAGTTACTTGTCACAGCAAAAGAACTCAAACATTTGTTCATGGACTACGTTAACTTGTTATTTGTTTTTTTTTTTTTCTTTTTATAGGGTACAGGCATCCTTCACCTGCCATTGTTGCAAGAACAGTCAGAATTTTGCATACACTACTAACTCTTGTTAACAAACATAGAAATTGTGACAAATTTGAGGTGAATACACAGAGTGTGGCTTACTTAGCAGGTAAAAGCACAAAATTGACAAAATTAGTGTAACTGTATCATTGTCTTAGGATCACCAAAACATACCCATGCCTAGCTTCAGGTCTTTGCAGCTAGTTCTTTGACCAAAAAGAGCATTCACACTTCAGTCCTTTGGTATTTGAAATTGTAAAGGTTTTGCCAAAACAGTTTTTTGATTATGAAAATTTGCATTGGGATCTGAAATGTCCTAAAATTGAATTGCCTCAGCCTGTCATCCCAGGCCTTCATAGCCTTCTAATCCATTCCCTATCTAAATTTCATGAGCATCTCTTTTTATAGCCTCTCCAAATGGACAGGCTATTTCAAACCAATCTACTTGCTGTCTCCTCCAGGATTTTCTGCCTTTTTAATACTCATTCTTTGTGCTATTTTACCTGGTATGCCTGTCCCATCCCCACCATTTACTAAACTAATTATGTTTTATCCAATATTCACTGTATTCTACTCAGACAATGTAGTTTGATGGAAGATGCCCATTCTCACTTTAGCAAATTTCCTTTTTTTTTTTTTTTTTTTTTTTTTGCCAAGTCTTTTTGTTTCAAACATGTAGCCTTGAACAAACCATTTTACATCCCAGAATATTCTTATCAGTGCATTTCAGATACATGCCCTGTCTGCTTTTTGAAATTATTGAACCAAATAGGCAATCAAATGCTTTAGAAAGTAAGGTGTTTATCAAATTTCTTTGTGTGTTGCATGTTTATACACTTCAGTCTCACACTTTCCAAGGCTTTTTATTGTACATGTAATGGTAATTACTTCTTAAGTTTGGAAAAAATGAATCTTGTTTTAGGTTACACTTGTGTTTCTTATCTGCTTTTCCTTTTCCTGTTAGCTCTACTCACAGTGTCCGAAGAGGTTCGAAGTCGCTGTAGCCTCAAGCATAGGAAGTCCCTTCTTCTTACTGATATTTCAATGGACAGTGTTCCTATGGATACATACCCCATTCTTCATGGTGATCCTAGCTATAGGTAAGTGGACATGGTAACATAATTAAATAATCATAGTCAGGCTTCAATTTCCATATGATAGAGATAGTAGCAAAGTAATCAGAAGGGAGCAGAGCAGCAGCTCAAGATGATCTAGGAAGTGTGGAGATCAAAGCTTCCTCTACAGATGCATGGTATTTTATATGGCATGTGTCTCTGCAGGCTAGAAGAGAACACCAGATCTCATTAAAGATGGTTGTGATCAGGCTGGACGTTGGTGGTACACACCTTTAATCCCAGCACTTGGGAAGCAGAGGCAGGTGGATCTCTGTGAGTTCGAGGCCAGCCTGGTCTACAAAGTCTCAGAACAGCCAAAGCTACACAGAGAAACCCTGTCTCCAGAAACAAACAATAAAACAAAACAAACAAAAAAGATAGTTGTGATCTGCTGGGAATTGAACTCAAGCCCTCTGGAAAAGCAACCAGTGTTCTTAACCTCTGAGCTATTTCTCCAGCCCAGCACTTTATTCTTGCAGAGGGGAAGAGAGTTCAGTTCTCAACACCCACATGGTTGCTCACATCTATAGCTGAAGTTCCAGAGGATCTAACACCCCCTTTTGACCACAGTAGGGCACACACATGGAAAATATATATACATGCAGGCAAAACATTCATACATAAAGTAAATAAAATATTTTTAAGTGATATAGATTGGTAAGAATGTTTGCATTCACAGTTTACTAATGTCATTAACATTAAAAGCCTGTTTATGGGGTAGTTTTATTGTTGTTGCTTTGATACAAGATCTGGCTATGCATCCCTGGATGGTCTGGAATTCAGTGTGTAGAGCAGGCTGACCTTGAACTCAAGAGATCTACCTCCCCCCAAGTGCTGGGGTTAAAGGCATTTACAGTCACATCCAGCTTCAATAATGTAGTTTATATGATAGAATCATAAAATTATGTCTACTGTTATGTGTGGCTTTGTGTAGGTTTTTTTCCTCCCCAGTATAACTGCTGTGGGCGGGGGGGGGGGGGGGGGGTCTGTAGTAGGAATGAAACAAAAAGATCTTTAAAGTTTAAATACAGTGTTGAACATAGGAAAGTAATCTTTGAGAGATCATGTCATTGAACTTACTAAGATCTTCCTTTTTGATTATAAAAAGACTTCCCCTGCACTTAACTAAGGCTTTAATAATTATGTAATTTTTCCCAACAGACAGTATTCAGTAACCTTATTTCTTCAGTCATTCCCATGAATTTATTTCTTTGACCCTTCTTTTAGTTATTGAAAGGAAAAAGTAATTTAATTGCCTGTATTTGGGAAAATTTAATTCTCAAAATTAATTTTATTGGTTTTTCTAAATGATGCAATAATATAATTACTTATTTATACTTTATTTTCCCTGATCATAAAGTTCAATACAAGCTGGGCAGTGGTGGTACATACCTTTAATCCCAGAAGCAGAAGCAAGCAGATCTCTGTGAATTTGAGGCCAACCTGGTCTACAAAGCAAGTTCTAGGACAGCCAGGACTGTTACACAAAGAAATCCTGTCTCAAAAAACTTTGGGTAGGGGAGGGAATCCAACGCAGTAAGTTCAAGAGCTCTATTATTCAACATCAGTTAATAACAGTATATTTATTATATATTTGAAAAATGCTAAGGTAAAAGATAAATGTTCTCACCACAATAAATGAAAATAAATAGGGTAATACATGTTCTAAATTAGCATATTTTAGGCATTCCACATGTGTACACTTTTAAAACATGTTGCTCGCAGTAGAAACACAATTTTATATGTGTTAAATTGAAGAGTTTGGAGCCATGTATGGTGGCAAATGCCTGTTGCCCCAACACTTGGGGGATAGAGGCAGGAGGGTCAAGAATTCAAGGTCATCCTTACCTATATAGCAAGTTTGAGGTCAGCCTTGGTTACTAAGTCTCTGTTTCAAAAACAAACGAAATAGAGGCTAGAGATTTAGCTTATTGGTAAAGAATTCTTTTCTAATATGCATAAGGCTGTGAGCTCAATCCCCAGGGCTGCAAAAAGCTTATTGGTATCATACAACAGTCATCTCAGCACTTGGGAAGTCAGTTCAGTGTCATCCTTGGTTTCATAGCAAGTTTCAGGCCAGCTTGGGCTACACAAAAGCCTACCAATAAATAAATATAGAAGTAATAGAACACTTGCCATGTGTGTTCTGGATTCAGTCCCTGTACTGCAGGAGAGAAAAAGTTAACAAAATTATGCAGTATAGCTCTTCCTATGTAGTATTGACACTTCTTAGGAGTTTTACCCTAAGAGCCAACTGTAATGGGACCTACTTGTAATGCTACCATTCTGGAAACCAAGGATTAGAAGTTCGAGACCAACTTGGAATCCATAGCAATTTCTGAGCCAGCCTGGGCAACTTAATAGGAACTTGCCTTTTGTTTTGTTTTGTTTTTTAAGTTTGTCCTATAGCACTTTAAAATGCAGTTTTCAAAACAAAAAAATTCTGGTTTTCTGAGGTAGGATTTCTCTGTGTAGCTTTGGAGTCTGTTGTCCTGGAACTTGCTTTATAGACCAGGCTGGCCTCGAACTCACAGTGATCCACCTGCCTCTGCCTCCTGAGTGCTGAGATCAAAGGCTAATTCCACCACTGCCAGGCAAAATTTTTTATTTTTTTAATTTATTTTTTTCACTTGTTTTGCTATGGGTGCCAGTTCTCTGGAACTGGAATTAGACAGTTTTGAGCTGCCATGTAGGTTCTCTGAATTGAACCCGGGTATTCCCAAAAAGCAGTTAGTGCTCTTAACCACTGATCCATCTCTCCAGCCCCCTCAAATTAATTTATTGCCATTATTAGGAAATGGTATAACTATTAGGAATGAGTGAACAGTGGTTATATTTGTCATCTTGTTAATTAGTTCTTCTAAATTGTTTAAATCTCTCAGGACACTAAAGGAGAACCAGCCATGGTCCTCTCCCAAAGGTTCAGAAGGATACCTTGCAGCTACCTACCCCTCTGTAGGCCAGACCAGTCCCCGAGCCAGGAAATCCATGAGCTTGGACATGGGGCAGCCTTCTCAAGCCAACACAAAGAAATTACTTGGTTAGTTTATCTTCATTTTGTATAAATGTTTACATTATTGTTACTGTGAGAAATGGTCAGCTAATTTCTTTCTTGGAATTATTGGAAACTATTTTAAATTGTCAGCATTTACTGTTTTGATATAACAAAATCATTTGTGACTTTTTAATTTCATTTATTTACTTTATGTGTGTGAGTGTTTTGCCTGCATTTGTATGGATGTGTACCACATGTGTGCCTGGTGGCGAACTGAAGTTACAGACATTTCTGAGCCTCCTGTGCTTGGTGGGAAGTGAACCTGGGTTCTCTGGAAGAGTACCAAATGCTTTTAATCACCAAGCCATCCCTGTGTGGCCTTTATGAGGGAATTTGCTTTTGATGGATCAATTCAGCTACATCTTCGAGAATGAAACTGGAACAACTTTGAGTTTAGTTTGGTTTTTATTTCTGTGTTATTAATTTTCTAATTTTTAGTACTATGGCTTTTGATTTTGAGGGCAACAGACAGTATAAGTAAAAGTCATTAGATGCCTAGAAGAAAGGAAGCATTGCTGTACTAGGATCTGTATCAGTAACTTTCCCTAAATTATTATTTTGAAAACAGAATGTATCACTGAGGTCTGAAACCAGTCACCATATTTTCCTTGCAATGACAAAAAAGCAAGATATTTTTTCAGTTAATAAGAGGATATTCCTTTTAGAAATTCACGTTTGTTTGTGTATATACACACACAGGTGGAGATTAGAGGATAGCCTTGTTTTGCCAGTTCTTTCCTTACACCTTTATGTTCTGTGCATTGAACTCAGGTTGTCAGACCCTCAAAGCAAGCACTTTTTACCCACTGAGCCATCCTGCCAGCCCAAGATATGATTCTTGGCACTTAACATTGTTCAGTTCTGTGAACATTCCTATGAGAAATAGATGAGTTCTCTCCTGTCCGGTAACGGATAAGTGAGTTCCTGAAAGAGCATTCACAGACCCACAGAGCAAATGTGAGGCAATGCTTGCCTTTCATTGGCTGCCACTTTCATTGTTACTCAGATATATTGGAGACCATTAATGTGAATGTGGATTTCAGTTATGCATGCAAGCATACTTAGTATCTGGAGGTCGTATTGTGAAAATGTTTGTGTTCATAAGGAAATTGGTGAGCAGACAACAAAATGTAACACAAATAACCTTCCAGTAAATATTGAAAGGAAAAATAACAAATGCCAGTTATTGTTACATAGGTCTGTCACCTTCTATTTGAGTTCCTTTCTGCTAATCCTTTGTTATCAGTAATGGCTGGAGTTTCCTGGTTACTTTGTGTTTTGTAATTATGGATTTTCATACCAAGAAGTTGTAAGTGAAAAATTAACCTCAGAGAAAATACCTTCAAACTGTGTTCTAGGCAGAAAAGTTAGGGTCTCTGTTCTTCAAAGAAGGGATTATACTTTGTTGGCTATGACTTAAAATCATATCTGATGACAACAGTATATGCCAGATGGCATTAAAGCAATAACATTTTGATGAAGAAACTGAGGATCTTAGGAGATTAGGAGGTAATATTTGAGCCAGATCTTAAGATGTAATACATAATAGCCGGGTAGACACCATAAGGAAGGGTGTGCACTCGAGAGGAAGTGCGGTTGAAGGGAGTGGGAGAGCAGCTGGCAGTAGAGCAGAGAGGTTAGGGAAGTCACATGGGAAATGAGGCTGGAGACGCACAGCATGGCCGTGAAAACTCTGCCATGACTGGGTGTGGTGGTCAATTTTAATACCAGCACACAGAGGCAGAGATGCATCTCTGAGGCTAGCCTACTCTATACAGTGAGTTCCAGAACAACCAGGGCTATGTAGAGAGATACTGTCTCAACACAACAAAGACTGCCATGGTAAGAAATGTATCATATCATATATCCAACAGAGATATTGAGTTAAGGAAGGAACAAAGTATAATTTTTATTTTTTAGAACATTTTCCTGATAACAGTGTGGAGAAAAGTCTTTTTAAAAGATTGACTTAGCAATCTAACAGGAAAATAAAAACAGTGCCAGCTGTTCTAAGGCCAAATCTCTGGGAAAATAGTCCATTGTGCGGTGTATATTCAGAGGAAAATGGACAGAAAAGAGTTCATACATCACTGACTCATCAGGTGGGAAGAGGGAAGACTGTGAAAGATGTTATAGGTTTCTGGCTTCAAACCCTGCCAATCAGGCATGATTGTGCTGCCTATGATTCTCATGAAGTAGAAGCAGGAGGAGCACAAATAGAGACCTGCCTGTCTACACCACATAACATGTCTCTGGCTAGCCCAGGCTATGTAGTGTACCCTGTTGATAAATAAAATAAAAAATGTAATTAAATAGCAGTTAACTCACTGGGCTGGGGCTATCACTTTCCACTGCTAGATATATATTCAAAGGAAATCAAATCAGTATGTTGAAGAGATAGTTGCATTCTGTGTGAATTGCTGGACTCTCTACAACAGCAAAGAAAACAAAGCAACCTCAGTGTCCATCTGCTAATGAATAGATAAAGCATAATTTTACATTCAGATCTACAAATAATAGCCATAAAGATGGAATACTGTAACTTGTGACAACATGGTTAGAATGGGAGATACCGTGTTAAATAAGCCACATAAAAACAAGCACTATGTGATGTTACTCAAATGTAGAAGATAAAATATGGCTCTCATAAAGTGTTAAGGATAGAATGATGGTCACCAGACACTAGCGGGCACTAAGGAGGAGGCCTGCTTTGCTGTTGTACGTTGGGTGGCTGTGTGTGACGCTGTACATTTCAAAACTGGAAGAAGGTTTTTCATGTGTTCACCTTAAAGAAACAATAAGAGCTGGGTATGTTGGGGCACACCTTTAATCCCAGCACTTGGGAGGCTGAGGCAGGTGGCTCTCTGTGAGTTTAAGGCCAACCTAGTCTATATAGCATGTTCAAAGACAACAAGAGCTTCAAAATAGAGAGACTGTCTCAAAAAAACAAACAGAAACCAAATGATAAATATTTGAAGAGTTAGATAATTGAGCTGTAGGACAAGAAGGAGATCACCCAGGAGCTAGCACAAGTAAAAGAGAAGTCAATAGAGTGACCACCTAACTCAAGCACTAAAGAAAGCACTAATGAATTGCAGGAAGATTGGAGTTTTCAGCCTGGTCTGTACAGGATCCTTAGCAATGTGACTTCAGGCTAACCACTTAATGGACTTCTTCCATTTGCATGAAAGGAAGAGGCTGACTAGGTTCTTCTAGATTCTTTTGGCCTTGATATTTGTGATTATTTATTAGTCTTAGTACATGAGGTCAGAATGTTTACTTGTCAAATAAACACCTGTTAGATCTTATAATATTGGCTTTTAAAATGAATTCATTTAAGGTATGCATTACAAACCTTTTTTCCTGTATGTGTGTGTTTCTGAGCATTAAACAGGTCCTATACTAGCTAGACAAGTACTCCACCACTGAGCTACATGCTCAGCCCCACATTGTTTTTTGGAATTGCTCCAAAAAGGAAGAGACATTCTCTGACTGTAAAGAGCAAAGATAGATAAATCCCATGTAATGTGTTATAAATAATTCTACTTTAAATAAAGAGAAAGACATTTAGATACCAATATACATGATTGGGAACTCAAGGCCAAGTGTGAGACACACTTGCTGCACTCACTTGTCTCCTTGTATGTCTAATTTTTAGTCCTTCTGGGCATGCATATCCTGAACAATTAAAGTCAAACTTTAATTTTTACCTGTTACAGAAATTATCCATCTGTAGTGACAATTTCTTGACAACAGCTTAGTCTCCTTACTTGAAGAGGCTGTTCAGGTTTTCCTGTACTTTCCACTGACCAAAATCTACTCTTTGTATCTCTTTGTATTTGTTACCAATACTTGCTCTTGTTGGTGGAGTCTAGCTTCTCCTTGGAATAGTAAAGATAATCTGTAGTTTTTAGACCAGTAAGGTTCCTCCTTTCCTGGAGTGCTGTGGGCCAGACCCGTGAAGAGGAAATGGAGAGTGATGCCTCGAGACTGCTCTAGGGATGCTTCAGCTGGCTTTAGGCCCTGGAGGGAAGCTTGAATGATTAGAACTATTTGTAGACACTGTGCTTAATGAACTTTCATGTGCTATAACTTTTGTTTATAGGAACAAGAAAAAGTTTTGATCACTTGATATCAGACACAAAGGCTCCCAAAAGACAAGAAATGGAATCAGGGATCACAACACCCCCCAAAATGAGAAGAGTGGCAGAAACTGATTATGAAATGGGTGAGAAACAAAGCTGATAAGTAATCTAGATTATTGCAAACAGTGAGGAGCACAGTGAAGGCCATTCACTTCCAGCAGTCCTTTTATCTTTAGGGTACAATATAGAAACTTGTACTCTTGTTCCAAAGATTAAGTTCTCTATAGCCCTTAAGTTGGAAGTAAAAGTAATTGGCCAGTGGAATATGTTCACGGGGCAAAGGCAGAAGGATCACAAATTTGAGGTCTGAGCCAGGCAGTAGTGGCTATGCCTTTAATTCCAATACCATGGAGGCAGAGGCAGGTGGATCTCTGGGTTTGAGGCCAGCCTGATCTACACAGTGAGTTCCAGGACAGCCAGGGCTACATAGAGAAATCCTGTCTCAGTTTTAAAACAAAACAAACAAAATACAAATAAATCTGCCTGGGCTACACTTTGAGGAGAGGCAGGGGGATCTCCATGAATTTGAGGTCAGCCTTGTCTACATAGACAGTTCTAGGCCAGCCAGAGACATAGTGGGACCATGTCTCCAAAAAAAAAAAAAAAAATTTATATATATATATATATATATATATATATATATATGCATACATATATATATATGTATGCACACACATACATATGAGATCTATAATACAAAATTATATATAAATATATGTAAATGATACTACAGCACTGCAGATCACTAGCTGTTATGTTAGTAATAATAACTCTGTATGACAGTTATATTGATAATTAAAATATCTGCTTAAAAAACTGTTGAATTTAAGATTAAATTCATTAAAATATGTTGAGTAAAGTGACCATAGAGACTACTAATACAGCTACTTACATTAATCCATATCCTACTGCAGAAACTCAAAGGATTTCCTCACAGCAGCACCCACATTTACGGAAAGTCTCGGTGTCTGAATCAAATGTTCTTTTGGATGAAGAAGTGCTTACTGACCCAAAGATCCAAGCACTGCTTCTTACTGTTCTGGTAAGGAATCCATGCCCTTGTTTGTCTATTTGTTTACTTACTTATTTTCAAGGCAGAGTCTCACTATGTAACCCTGGATGTCCTGGAACTAGCTCTGTAGACCAGGTTGTCCTTGAACTCACAGAGATCCACCTGCCTCTTCCTCCTGAGTGCTGGGATTAAAGGTGTGCACCCCCACTCCTGGCAGGACTTTCCCTTTTTGAGGGTCCCCCCCTCAGATTCTTATTCTAGTCCACTCTTAGCAGACCTTTAAATATTACAAATATGAAAGGAAGATGTTTTCACTTCACTAAAATAGAAAGATTCAGTCACAACATGTTTACTTCTTTTGCATCTTGGCAGGCTACACTGGTAAAATATACTACAGATGAATTTGATCAACGAATTCTTTATGAATACCTAGCAGAGGCCAGTGTTGTGTTTCCCAAAGTGTTTCCTGTTGTGTAAGTATCTCTTGTTCTTTGTGGCTAGCCTCTGTGTCTGTCTGTGTCAGGTGCTCGTAAAGGTGTCAGAAGTGTATTTCAGGGATGTCTGCTACCTGCAGAGTGAAGAGTGGAGCTGCCATTTTTAACCATAGAGAGAGTTAGTTAGTGGTTTTAGGGTTTGGGACTACAGCTCTGTAGAATACATGCTTAGCATGCACAAGGGTCCAGGGTCGATCTCCAGCACCCAAAACAAAAACCATAGTTGTGGTGTGAAGAGATCACTTAGCATTTAGGAACCTTTACTGGTGTTGCAGAGGATTTGCACCCTCCTCTGGCCTCAGAGGACATTGAACACACATTCACATACCCACACACAAACATGCATATACATGATTGAAAAGAAAGATAAACCTTTTTTAAAAGGTTTTAATGGTGGCTAAAGCCATGTGCTTTGTTTTGTTTTTTGTTTGTTTTTGTTTCCTAATCTTACTGATTTACTTTAGTGGGTTGAGTATTGTACAGTTTTCTCAAGAGCAAACTGATAGATTGCTGTATTTAAACCAGCCTGCTTAGTTTTCTTGGGGAGGGGCATATCCAAATACTTCTTTTAAATATTTACTTTCTTTAGTGCAGACATGCATATCTACTGTGGCACACATGTGGAGGTCAAAGGACAACTTTGGGAAGTCAGTTCTCTTCTTCTACCATGTTGGTACTGGAGATCAAACTCAGGTCATTAGAATTGACAACTGTCACCTTTGTCCATTGAGCCATCTTGCTAGCCCTTAGTTTTCCTTCTTTAATAGAATTTCTGTATTTACTCACAGCTGAGTGAAAATAGAATTGACCTCTTAACTAGGAGGTTGGTTTTACTCTCAACACTTTAACTTCAGAGTATTTGCTATAGTTTGATTTCTGTTGCTGTGATAAAACACTGACCAAAACAACTTGGGAAAGGGACTGGAGAGATAGCTTAAAAGTTAAAAGCATGTCTGCTCTTCCAGAGGATGTTGGTTTGACTCCCAGCACCCACATGTTGTCTCACAACTGCCTGTAACTCCAGTTCCAGGGAATTTGATATCCTCTTCTGGCCTCTGAACATCAGGGTCTCATTTGGTGCACAGACATACATGTAGCATACGTGCATAAAACAAATTTTTAAAGAAGTAAAGAATAGAAACTTCATAGTCTTATTTCATCTTACAAATTAGAATCCAGTCACTGAGGGAAGCCAGGGCATGAACTAAAGCAGAGACCATAGAAAAATGCTGCCTACTGGCCTGCTCAGTTACCTTTCTTACACATCCCAGGCCCATCTGCCCAGGGCTGGCATAATCCACCAGTGGCTGGGCTTTCTATATCAGTTAGCAATCAAGAAATGTTTCACAGACCAATCTAATGGAAACAGTTCTTCAGTCGAGAATCCTTCTTCCTGGATATATCAGCTGACAGCTGTGACAGAAAGTTGTTGGCAAATTAAAAAAAAATAAATAAAAGGGCCTTTTTGTGGGATGCAGAACAATAGAGGGTTCAAGGTGAAGGATGAACCTAAGGCATAGGTCTGGCTAAAGTCTTTATGCATGGCATCATTAATAATTGAGTTATATCCCTTTGTACAGTGTGGGGCTATTGGAAGATCTTTGATTGGTATTGAGTTGCTCTAGAAATGTACTCTGGGTATTATGCTGAAAATGAGTTGGAAGAAACAATAGATTCAGAAAGATTGTAATAAGGAGACTATTCCAAGAGGCCAGTATCTGGTATATAAGGAGAAGTAGAATTGAAATGGCATTTAGGAGGTAAGAATTATAGAAGTTAGTTATGGATGAAGTGTGGACTAGAACAGCTCCCTAAGAAGCACTCTGCATGTTAAAGCAGTGGCAGTGGATTCACTGCTGAGATAGGAATGGTGAGAGAGCCCCATGCTGGCTATGAAAGGGGGGAGCAGAATGAACTTGGTACTGGACATTTTGAAACTTATGTGGAACAACTAAAGATATTATAGTCACACTTTAGTTTATAAACCTAAACACCTGAGTGTATCTTATTGAACAAACAACATTTGTTGTTTTTAATCTCATTTTAAAGTTTCTTTTTTTTTTCTGAATTTTACATATCTAGGTATTATTTTTTGATATATTTTTACTAATAGATTGCAGCTGATTTTGAAATGATTTCTTTGTAAGATTCCACATTCTACATCTTCTTTTGCTTTTCTTAGCAAAATTCAGTCTGATTTGGCACTAGTTAATATTAAATTTGATTACCCTCTAAGTACATCAAAAGAACAGGATATAGAAGATATACAGTGTGCTAACTAGCAAACAGAACCATACTTGTCTTGAAAAAGATTCTCTTTGCATAGTTTGACATGGTTATGTGATAGCTACTAGTTTGCTCTTATTGTGTCTCCCTGATGACTTAAAATGAAAGGCAGTACACACACTCTCACACACTCATTCGTAGGTAATTTAGAAAAGCACTAGAAACTTAGAAGCACTTGTCTTCAGTTTTGCCACATTGTTCTAAGGAATATATATTATGCTTTCCAATAAATCTTTTAATTTAATGTTCCTCTGTTTACTTTTTTTTTTTTTTAGGCACAATTTGTTGGACTCTAAGATCAATACCCTCTTGTCATTGTGCCAAGATCCAAATTTGTTAAATCCAATCCATGGAATTGTGCAGAGTGTGGTGTACCATGAGGAATCCCCTCCACAGTACCAAACATCTTACCTACAAAGTAATTAAGTATACCAGGAGAGGATGGTTGAAAATCCTGCACTGCGGCACTGTGGCCTGCAGAAGCACTGTAGCATTCTCTATAAAGGACAGGTTCCTTCATACTTGTCTCCCTTCGTGCCATTTCCTGACTCTTAGTTATGTGTCCCATAAGATAACTGTTTGACCACTTTATTAAAATGCTAAGCCTACTTTAAGGACATTTTAGTTATCTTTGACACTCCTTTTTAAGTGTCTTAAATATCTGCATAGATTCTGTCTGTTGGCTCTACAGCCTAATTTCTGTTACTATTTAAAGCTGTCTTGCATGTTGTAAGAGTAGCATTTGATGTTTTGCAGGTTTTGGTTTCAATGGCTTGTGGCGGTTTGCAGGACCCTTTTCAAAGGTAAGAAAAAATACTTTTCTCTAACCTTTGATAAGCCAGAGTCTTTAGCTATATTTGTGACCTTTTTGAGAACACACACTATCCTCAAACCAAAGTACTATCTCAAAGTAAACACATTGTTCTAGAAAAATTTTTCCAAAAGAGGAAATAACTTTAATATGTTTATATATTAATTTTTATTTTATATAATACTAAATTTAGGCTTAATTTCTCAGAAGGTTGTGATAAGCCACTATAAAACTTGTCTGCCTGTAGACCAGTGGTTCTCAACCTGGGGGTTATGACCCCTTTGGGATGATATATCAAATATATATAACTACAGTTATGAAATAACAACAAAGTAACTTTATGGTTGGGGGTCACCACAACAGGAGGAACTGTAGTAAAGGGTCACAACATTAGGAAAGTTGGGAACCATAGCTATAGATCTCTACATGTGGCAATAACTCACACACCTGTCTTGTGACCAGCAAAGAACATAATGCCTGTTAAAACTGCCTCATGGACACATTTTTACATCCAACTATGATACTGAGTTTGTGCTTCACTGCTCTTTTTCTTTGGCATTCGTTGGTGTACCGCATGAATTTGTATTTAATTTTTTCTTTTAGGTGGTCTTTTTTAAAATAATTTAAATTCCTTGAAGGTGGGGTTTCTGCCCTTCACCCCCCCACACACGCACACACAGAGCGTCCTAGATATATATATGTATGTATGTATGTGTGTATATATATATGTATATATATTTAATTAATATTATACCTTGTTCCAGTTTAAAAGTTAGATTTAGTTTATTTTGTAATATCTGTTGATATGCACAGGTTGTCGTTAAAAAGATGAGCCTGAAGTCACAGAAGTGTGTCTTACAGAAGTCTTTAACAGGTGGATTGTTGTTATTGGATGAGCTATTCCCTCTGTTCCTCGCTGGGGGGATCTGGGTAGCAGCTGGCCTGATGGCGCTCTGGCCACTTTCTCTGCTTTGGGAATCTGGCTAGGCATCATTGCTGAGGACTGCATTGTCTGCGTAGTCAAACCCTCTGTCTGGGCATGGCTTTCAGAAATTGCAGGTTCATCTGGAAGCTTTTAGGGGAAGCTAAATAACGTTTCAAGCTGTAAATTCCATAGTTGTCTCTAAATACTACTCCAGTTCCCCTTTCTAATGGTCTAGAATACAAACAAAGGAAGAAAGCAAAACAGTCAACTAAGCCCCAGATATCAGTTAACCTTTTTTGGCTTCAAAGGGAACTTTTTTAAAAAATGGAGCTAAAATAATGTCCTATTTTCCATTACAGCAAACACAAATCCCAGACTATGCTGAGCTTATTGTTAAGTTTCTTGATGCCTTGATTGACACGTACTTGCCTGGAATTGATGAAGAAGCCAGTGAGGAGTCCCTCCTGACACCCACATCTCCTTACCCTCCTGCACTGCAGAGCCAGCTTAGTATCACTGCCAACCTTAACCTCTCTAATTCCATGACCTCACTTGCAACTTCCCAGCATTCCCCAGGTCAGTAAATGTGATCTTTATGTGACTTTGAGCAATGATAGTATGATACCAACATTAGGAACTCCCTTTGGGTCAGATTATAGCAGATTTTGCTCCTTTTCCTCTTGAGGTTCACTTTACATCTCCTTCCTATGTAAGTGAATGTTGTTACTCTTCAGAGCTGTCTGCTTCCCAACAAGTTGTATAAAAGAGAGGGAAATGCATAGTGATATTTAGTATCCACATAGGTTTGTACCAAAAGCACAAAGTGAATAGAACTGTAGTTGTTTAATCAATTATAAAGTACTTACAAAAAAATAACATCTTGGAGCTGCAGAGATGACTAGGTTAGTAGAATGCTTTTCCTTGAAAGCCTAAGGAATTGAGTTCAATCCCCCAAAACCCACAATTTAAAATCCACTTGTGTATATGCTTATAATCCTATCCCAGCATATAGGAGGTAGAGGCAGAAGAATATCAGGGCACGACTAGCCAGCTAGCCTAGCCTAGTTGTTAATTTCCAAGGCAGTGAGAAACTGTTTCACAGAAAGGCAAGCTGGAGGAATAATACTACAACAGTACTCTCTCAAGCGTGTGCGTGCACGCACGTGTACACACACACACACCCACACCCACACACACACACACACACGACGGGGATGAGAGGGTTTGTCTTAAAACCCACCATTTTAAAACTGGGTGGTAGTGGTGCATGCCATTAATCCCGGCACTCAGGAGACAGAGGCAGGTGGATTTCTGAGTTCGAGGCCAGCCTGATCTACAGAGTGAGTTCTAGGACAGGCATCAAATCTATACAGAGAAACCCTGTCTCAAAACAGACAGACAAAAAAATTCATCATTAAATCCTTACTGTATAGTCATTATTGGATTGATCTAATGGGAAAAGTGAACAAGTGAATTTTATTTCTTTATTTTTATTTTGAGGCAGGGTCTCACTTTATAGCCCTAGCTGGCCTAGAACTCTCTATGCAAACCAGGCTATCCTAAACTTACAGAGATTCACCTTCTTTGCCTCTCGGTGCCAGGATTAAAGGTGTGTGATGAAATTTAGAAACGATACATGAGTAGTAATAGCTAAAAAGCCCCTGAAGAACTGAAAGAGAAAAGATGGCAGCAATGGCACCTGCCCCACTCAAAGCTCAGTACTGTCTGAAGGAATGGCTCTGGGTGACCCTAGAGGTAGTGCTCACTACAGAACAACCACACTGCTGTGTAAATTGTGACAACACTGGGTAATGGTGAAAAGCTGATGTCTGGGTCATGTGCTATATTGAAAAGATTTTCTTCTAAGTTAGTTAAAATGTTTAAAAAGGATTCCTTACTTAAGTGACCTAAGTTCCATTATCTGAAAAGGTCTACATAGAAATTCTCTGTACATACTTCATGTAAATGCCAGCTGTTAGCATGCATTTTCTTTATACAAATCAAACCATAACTACTATTCTGTGATGTTCAAGGTCTATAAATAGAATCTCTGTAAATGGTAGTCGAAGTGGAAGTGTTGTATGGACATTTTCATTTACATGGTAGTTTTGAGGATTCTAGAGAATCAGACAGTAAAATACACAATCCATATTATAAGATATTTTGTAAAACACATTCAATTCTTATTTTGTTTTGCTTGTTTTCTCAAGACAAGATTTCTCTATTTAGCCCTGGCTGTCCTGGAACTTAACTCTGTAGATCAGGCTGACCTAAGATCCACCTGTCTCTGCCGCCCCAAATGCTGGGATTAAAGGATGGACCACAGCCCAGATGTATTCAATTCTTAAACTTTCTTTATGGATTTACTTATCAATCAGGTGATCTTTTATCTCTGAGTAGTCTGCCAGCTTTTTTCCCCATATAACCAGTGTGTTTGCACCATCACTTGTTCTCTAGGACTACACCAGCATCAGCATCATTTGAGAGTATATTAGAGATACAGGTACTTGAGCCTCCCATGCCTCCTATGTGAAACCCCAAGCATGGAGCCCAATCAGCCTGATGAGCAGGGGTGATTATCATGTACACTGGGCTTTGAGAAGCTGCCATAGTTGTAGTCACTCAGACTCCCCTGCTTTCGCAGACCATGAGTACCTTTCCCAGGCTGGCCTGGAACTCACTATATAGACCAGGCTGATTTCAAACTCAGAGATGCACCTCCTCTGCCTTCTGAGTACTGGGATTAAAGATGTGTGCCTGGCTATATGTTGAATCTTTGTAATTATTTTATTCCAGGTCCTCTGCCTACATCCACTTTAGATATCGGAGAGTGAGTATATTACAAAGACGCAAATAAAGGTTGGGAGTGGAGCTCAGTGGTACAAGGTACTAAGTTTAACCCTCACAGTAAAAAGAAAGATATGGTGGCTTATATCTGGAATCCCAGGCAAGAGAATCACTTTGAATTTTAGTCCAATATGGGCTACAAGAGTGAGATCCTATCTTTAAAAAACAAAAACAAAAACAAAAACAAAACCTCAACAGAACTATGTGTACTTAACTTCCAGAAGTAGCTGAATGCATCTATTTCCAAACTATTTAAATCTGAGGTATACTCTATTACAGTGTCATCAATTTTTACATTATTTGAATTATTATTATTATATTATTATTGCATGCTCTTTTTCCCTTGACAATCTTGTATAGCTGTCTAGCTGGCCTTAATCTAATGGCAGTCCTCTTGCTTCAGCCTCTAAAACGCCACCACACCTAGCTGTGAAGACTTACTTTGTAAATGTGTATCAGGCAATCTCACACATTTAAAGTTTCCTTTTACAATTTTTAAATAACATATAAATATGAATATTTGACCTTATGTATGTATATGTGTTGTGTGTGTCCATTTCCTGAGGAGACCAAAAGAGGGCATGGGATCTTCCAGAACTGAGGTTAAGGTTACAAAGAGTTGAGAGCTGCTGTGTGGGAATTGAACCCAGGTCCTATGAGAGAGGAGCCAGTGTCCTTAAGCTCTGAGCCATGTCTCCAACCTCTGCCTGCTACCACACATTTTAAGATGAGAGATTCTCTGATTACAAGGACTTGAGGGTTTTTGCCTGTGGTTGTCAGTGTTGAGTTTTAAGTGAAAGTTATTTCTTTACAGTTTGTAGTGTTTAGCAGATTTTAGGACACAGGTGTTTTTTATTTTGTTTTGTTTTCATAAACACAAGATTAATACTGTACTGCTTTGTAGAAAATATCCAAAATTAGAGCCAGTAAAAAGGCTCAGTGGAAGCCAGGTGTCGGTGGTGGTGCATGCCTTTAGTCCCAGCACTCAGGAGGCAGAGGCAGGAAGATCTCTGTGAGTTCAAGACCAGTCTGATTTATACTTCCAGGATAGCCAGAGCTACACAGAGGATCTCTCTCTCTCTCTCTCTCTCTCTCTCTCTCTCTCTCTCTCTCTCTCTCTCGCTCTCTCTCGCTCTCTCTCTCACTCTCACTCTCACTCTCTCTCTGCTACATAGTAAGTTCCAGGCCAGTCTGGGCTATATTATGAGACTTTGTCCAAAGTGGGGGGGGGGAAAGTCCCATGAGTTTATCCTCCATATGTTCACAGCAGCGAGTGACTGCCTCTGAGGGCTCTCAGGGTAATGAGGATGACACAGTATGTTGAAGTGACTATTTTGATGCTGTGCTAGGAACATTTGCTTGGGAGATTCAGTAACTTCCACTCACTAACATTTTGTTCTTAGGAAATTCATGGTTAGAGTTCCATAAATAAAGCCAGCTTTCTTGTGAACACTGGGGATGATAGTAAGTGTCCAGTGTTTAATGGTGTCTCCCTGCTTCTGACTCTGGACATCATTCCTTTCACCCTTCTGTCTTCCTTTGTGGCTCCTCTGTGTGCTCTAAGCCAGCAGTTTGCAAGCAGCCACTCCTCTTCAAGGCCCAAGACTTCCCAGCCCTAGTCCTGGAGGCTCAGTATGATTTAGGCACCACAGGAACTTGGAAAGCTGTTACTTGATCAGGTCTCAGGACTCAAAACACTGTAATATGGTCACTGTGGCCTATTTTAGTTAAATTAATTGCCACCTGCCCTGGGCTGCTGTCCTGACCTTGGATTAACACAGTGGGTTAACAGAAATTCAAGGGATAACAACAGAGATGTATCCTGTGGGCTTTGAGGAAGTGTTCGTTAGCTTAGAAAATAATTGTTTCTCCTCACTCCTACCCCGGAAATAAAGCTAACCCCATCATAAGACTGACTATATATTCTGTCACTCGTTTTAAAGATGTCATTAAATAACGGGATGGACTAGGAGGAAGTGTGTCACATCAGGGCCTGATCTTAAAATGGCCTGCCTTTCCCATGTAGTCTTTGTATCACAGAGAGATGAGACCTCAAATGGAAAAGAAGTACCAGCTGTAGGGAAAGCCCATACAGTCTGAAAATTCCTACAATTCCAAGTTTGTATATCCAGCTCAAAATACAAATATTTCTAAATGTATACTTGGCATATCTCCATGAATATAGTCACTGTAGCATACGCATCAACTGTAACTATCATACTTAGCTTTTCTTTAAGATGTCTCATGTTTCCTTACATTAGTTTTAGTAATTTTACAAATTCCAGCATTAAGTTTGAGTCCTGTAGGTTTGTCCTAAAACTGAATTTTCTAGTTACTTACTTCTTTCATTCCAGGTATTAGAAACACCTTAATTTATGTTTTAAAAAAACAGTAATGATTTTATTTGTGTAATTCAGAGAAATCCTTCACATGGATTTTTCCCAACTTTCCTCACAGTCCTGTAAAATAGGCAATGTGGCATCCAAAAAGTTCATTCGAATAGTTCATTCTTACTACAGAGCCAACAAGAGCTCTGATCTAATTAAGACAGGAACTTTAGGGCACTTGCAGCATACAGGAAGGCCTAAGTTCATCCTCAGCACCACAAAAAAAGACTTAAAACTTTGTTCTTCAGAGTGATTGCCTGCTTGTATAGAGAAAAGAGTTTTCTGGAAGGTTTACTCTATTGTATGTAGAAAACTGAGGGAGGCAGGCAGGCACTCAAGCTGGCCCTTGCACAAGTGATAAAGTTTGGGTTGTCATTCGTCTTACCCTAGTGTAACTTTGGACAGATTACTCAATATTATTTCCTTTAAGTGTTTTAATATTTATTTGTTATGTGTCACCCAGAAACTATAGATCAGTAATGTCAAAATCAGTAAGTTCTGATACCTGCCTTCAAGGAACTCAGGCAAGTGTCTAGAGTATCATCTGGCAGTTCTCCTAATTCATTTGTCCCAAATGCCTGTTAGTATCTATCTTCATCTGGAGCCAGCCCAGCACAGTGCTGAGAACACTGAGCGACATGTCCTCAGCCCTGCACACTTGTTGTGTACAGACAGCTGGTGTGTGTTTAAACTAGCAGATGCCAACACAGAAGCTTAAGCTCTGTTTTTATTGGGTGGTGACTTATGTTTTTTTCCTCATGGAGTTTTGCTTTTGAACTCATGGAGGGAAGGAAGAAGAGGAGCCTTAGGGATAAGAGAGCACAGAAAATAGCTTCAAAGAGGCCAGTGGAGAAGTGCCAGCCAGCTTTTCTCTCTCCAGTCTGAAGTAAGGCCTGTGCCAGCGCAGGGATCTGTCTTGTGTGAGCAGTCTGCAGTCCTCCAGCAGCATGGTATAAAAATGCCCACATTTCAGAAGAAAAATGATGTAAGCACTAGGTTCATTCTGTCACTGCAGCTCTGCTTTCCTAGTATTTTGTATGTTGGTATTTTATTGCTTTTTAAAAAATAACTCTCCTGCCCGGTGGTGGTGGCACACACCTTTAATCCCAGCACTCGGGAGGCAGAGGCAGGTGGATCTCTGTGAGTTTGAGGTCTACAGAGCGAGTGCCAGGACAGGCTCCAAAGCTACACAAAGAAACCCTGTCTCCAAAAAAAAAAAAAAAAAAACCACCTATTTAGAATATCTAGAATATCTACCTTTTATTTATTCTTTGACAATTTTATACACATATACAGTGCTCTCCTAAATATTTATGCAACTTTCTCCTTGATCTTTATAGTAAAATAGTAAAACCTGTTTGTTTGGTTAGACTCAGGAAGCCCATTACAGTGTTTTGCCTTCCAACTTCCTCATTAGGAAATAAGATGTAGCAGATTCCTATTAAGGAAATAACCTCCATTGGGGAAATGCTGGACTTGAACATACAGCTCACGTGCAGATATCAGGGAATGGATGCACTGATGTCAGGTACACTGACAGCCTGTGGTCATTTCACAGGGAAGGAGGTGGCTGGGAAACATTTCTCCTAATGTGTGTGGTCATCCTTGTTGCCAGGCAAAGGCTATATGCTTTAGGACTGTGCACTAGAGGTTTCTAGCTACCGTGTTTTGAAGTGGAAGGAAGCATTTAGCCAACAGTTACTGAAAGTGATTAGCTAGATTCTATAAGAAAACAAATGAATGGTAACCGGTCCCTCTCTGGGTCTTTTCACTCTAGCAGAAGAAATAAGATGCTCATACTGGTGTACAGGTGTGACTGTAGACAAGAACTTGTGACTACATAGGGGATAGAGGTGGCTCTGGTAGGAGACAGGAGGAAAGACAGGAGCAGGTTCGAATCTGAATAAAGATGTGGCTTCTAAAGAACAGTCAGTCGTTCCCGCTTCAGTTCCCTCCAGAGGCCTGCCTTGCTGCATGGATATATTCCATTTCCTGAAACATAATAAATACCTCTGGTCTTGAAATAATACTTCTTGCCTCAAATGGAAGTGTTTCCATTCCCAAATGTAATGATTCTTTTTAAATTCAAACAGTACATACAAAAAGAAAGTTAAAGTTATACCTGAAACAAGTATGCTGTCAGGGTACAACGTGTGTGGACAGAAGTTCCCCTGTCTACCCACCCTCCTTTCTATAAGTGGATTCTCTTGCCAATCCCCTTTCTGTGTCTGTGAGAATTTATACCAGCTACTGGAGTGCTTCCCATCAGTAGTTAAAAATGAGTGTAATACCTGTTTGGGAAGCAATTTTACTGAAGGATAATGGGCAGGAAAGTGCACAGATCATAAGTTTACAGTGCAATAAACTTTTTAGAAGTAAACCCACTCAAAATCAAGATCCAGACCCAAGCACAGTGGTGCACGCCTTTAACTCCAGTACTCTGTAGGCAGAGGCAGGCAGATCTCTGTGAGTTCCAGGACAGTCAGGGCTACACAGAGAGACCCTGTCACAATCAATCAATAAATCAATCACTCAATAAAAGATCAAGATCCATATCAAGGATAGTGAAGGATCATGCTAAATACCCTCACTGTGTCCTCGGGTACTACTTTCCAGTCTCCATGTGTGACCTTTACCACTATGATGAGATCTTTCTTTTAGTCTTCCCTTTTGTTCTGATTACCTTTCTGAAAATACTACTTACATTATTTATAAAACTCATTATAGGACCTGAGAGAAAGAAATGTCAGCTGCTTGATTAAGGTTGAGAATAGTGTGGTGAGTTGCCTTGATTGAAAAGAAGCAAAGGTCCCAGAGCGTAGCCCATGTGGTAGATCACCTTTTCAGGAAATGTTTTCATTCCTCCAGAACAGGCATTGAGGCCAATAAAGTGAAAAAAGCACCTGCCTTTTTCTGAAATGACAAATGTGCAGAAAGATGGAGGCTGCTTGTGAATTTTACAGGTGCGTGGCTAGAAACTGCCCCCTACTGGACGCTTCTGGTATGGCTGGAAGAGAGTGCTCTAGGCTTCCCAGGTGGCCCCTCACCAGCTGTTCTTGCTACGTGTCTTTTTTCTCTTAATGCTGTTTTACTGCAATGATATCACATTCATCTTAACAAAGGTTGAGGTTCTGCACTGACTGGGCCTTTATAAACATCCTAGCATTCACTATTAAAATGGAATGTGCTGGAACCATTCTCCAGGTTGTATCTCACACACAAGTAAGGAGATTTGGTCCTAGAGCTCGCAGCAGGAGAGGAGGAGTAACCAGCTGCTCTTTCTCTCCAGGAATCGACAAGGAGAACGTTGAACTCTCCCCCACCACTGGCCACTGTAACAGTGGACGAACTCGCCATGGATCCGCAAGCCAGGTGCAGAAGCAAAGAAGCGCCGGCAGTTTCAAACGTAATAGCATTAAGAAGATCGTGTGAAGCTTTCTTCCTTTCACTTTTCAAACCAACCTAACATGGGCTTCTCACTAGTGACCCTTCCCTAACCTGGTCCCGCCCCACACTGCACTGCTGCACTTCGTGTCTTATGAACCCATCTGGTCTGCCATGCTGCCAGACGATCAACTCTTGGAAGCATTGCCTAAATTTAATGCTGCTTTTCTTTAATGTTTTTCCTTCTACTTTGGCATGTGTCTGGTGTGAGCACTTGTTCTGACGACTGCAAAGAAAGCAGGAGGTCAGGAAACCTGAACTGAGAGTCTGGATCATGGGAATGAGCGAGTGGATAAATCCTCCAGTGCCGCTGCCGCCGGCGGCGGCCATGGGCCATGCACGGAGGCTGGCCTTCTTTGTTCCCTTGTCTTACAGAGTGAAGTGGTTGTCTTATTTACACTTTCCAAGTTTGGGGGAGAAATAATATTTTAACCCCAGTGTATTTAATCTTCTAGCTGTGGACTTTTTTTTACCTTATGAAATTGAAGGAACCAATAGAGGTCAAGCCTCAATGAATTTACACCATAAAGCCACAAGCCAGGTACTTGGGGGAGAGGGGATAAACTAGTATTTTGTAATGGATTCTTAAGAAATCCTAACATTTGAGTATTAGCAATAATTACAGGAAAATAAGCATGACCACATACATCTTAACACTGCTGGATTAAAGCTATCGGTTCTGAGGCCTTATTCATACTTGGTCATCCAAACTAGGTAATTTTTTTTCCTGTTGATTATCTTTTAATCTTTACATATGAAGGTATTCTGTTCTTTTTTTGTAAGCCAAGGCTATACTAAGTATAGTAACTACACTTGTTTTTGCACTTGCTTTTTCCTCCTCTTTCCTATGTGATTCTGAGCAGGGTAATTAGCAGAGAGAGTGTTGAAACTTGTTTCCAGAAGCTAATTTTCATAGCTGTTTCCATTAGCTCCAAAGCAAAATGGAATGGTACGTGACTTAGGGTAACTGATATTTTTATTTTGTTAAATAATTTTCCAAGAAACAGAATATGCTGTATATTATCGTAAATTTCTTTGATAAGATGTATTTTTTAAATCTTTTCATCTTCCTCCTCTCCTCCAAATAAAATCAGGAATCTCTAGCAAAACATTTGGATTCTATGTGATAGGATTACATTTAATCACTGTGAAGTATGGTCAGCCTGCGTGGTGTGCTGATAAGGGACCTCTAGACTTGCCGCTGTACAGACAGCATGGATCAGTATGCCATAGGCCCTTCCAGGTGATGCACAGCCAGCTGCTTCATGGTACCTGCAGTATGCAAAACAATCAACTTGAGTGAGCGCAGTTGTATGTGGGTGCTGTCATTTAAGATTGAACTATATTTATTTTTAAAAGGTATTATCTCTCTACTCCCATGTTCCCTTCACATATTAAAATACAATGGCTTTGGGAGGAACAAAAAGAAACCCAGGGGGTGGGGGGTCCCTGTAGTGCTAGCTCACTAGTGGATTTCAGTAAATTAAACTCCACAGCTAAGTCAATAAATAATGGTACATTTAAGTGTTCTGACTCTAATAATATAACACATTTCACACTTATCCATACAGTAACAATGTAATATGTAATTGTAAATAAAATTGCTTTTGATATTCAGAAATAACAAGAATTTAATTTTTTTTAATTTGTTTACAGTCCTGGGAAAAGTAAGAACCATTTGCCAAAATAAAAGGAAAAACCCTTAGTATTAGTAGTGATTTTAACAGACTCATTGGGAAATATTGGTGACAAATGCAGCCAACTGAGCTTCTGTTTTCAACTGCTGCAAAGGCTTGAGTAGAGTAACTGTCATGCAGACAACAAGGCTGTAAGGCCTACTACAGTAGCAAGAGGCCCCAAGACAAGGCTGCGGGGTGCACCACCACAGCTCTGGTTCCTGCCGCCAGCCAACCATAGGCAGGGTGAGGCTCTTTTCTGTGTAACTCTGGTTGCTCATTTTTCCTCTAAGAGACTGGCACATCTGACCACAGCCATTACTGCTCCTTCGCCTCTCCATCAAACAGGAAAACTTGACAATGTAGCGCTCTTTCTGTAAGAAGTTTCCCACAGTACCGTGGTTCTTAAACATCCCCCACCTGAGCTCCCCTTGGAAAGATCAAATGGAGATATCTCCAGATTCACAAACGCTTTCGACCAGTGCATCCGGGACTCCTGAAGAGTGTCAGCTTTATCAGCTTTATTTGATGTACAGAACTTCTAACTTGGTTGGTTTTTTTTTTTTTTTTTTTTTTTTTTTTTTTTTTTTTGGTATTTTTGAGACAGGGTTTCTTTGTGTAGCCCTGGCTGTCCCAGAACTCTGTAGACCAGGCAGCTTGAACTCAAAGAGATCTGCCTTCCTCTGCCTCTGCCTCCCAAGTGCTGGAATCAAAGATGTGTACCACCATAGCCTGCAGAACTTCCAACTTTTGAGGAAAGTCTGACTTTCCAAGCTTCTGCAGCTAAGGAGCTTACGTGTCACCAGCTGCCCCTCTCCCCGACTTTTCCAGTTGTAACAACACGGCTGAAGTTCAGAGAAATGTCCTATTTTACATAATTTGGTGTGAGTTCGGTGATTTGTTCTCAATTTGTGTTTCCCTGATGTAAAAGAAGAAAACAGTAGCTCCGCCATATTTGTGCTGTGATGAGTCTGTTGAGCAGTGCTCCTGTCCTGGGCTTCCTGCCCTCCACTGTGGGGACGGACATAACACTCGCTGGCCAGTTACACTACCTGCACACTGCTGAGCTGGGGAGCAAGGACACCGCAGTACAGTCAGCCCCACCCCCGGAATGAACACCTATTGGGGGACCGAGTCAGCAACCCTGTCCTCCGGTTTTCGGGTTGCAAGTTTCCTGTGAGAGATTGGAGTTTTGTATTTTGGGTTTGGGAGATCTTTCTTCCTTTCTTTCTTTCTTCCTTTCTTTCTTCTTTCTTTTCCTACATTTACCCCCAAGCATATTGAGGCATGTCTTATTCAATATTATGCAATGGACTTATACAAAAATTCACTTAGTATCAGCCACATGATTTTTTTTATGCAGTATATTCACTTGTAAATAATTTGTGTAAAATTTGACAGAAAAGTCTATTTACTACATTGTAAATACATGTGATGATATATTGTATTATTTTGCTTTTTTGTAAAGCGGTTAGTTGCTGTACATGGATAACAAACAAAAATTTGATTATTCTCGTGTTCGTATTGCTAACTTCTTCCTGCGACTGCGTTAACATCATTTAAAGAGAATGCTGTGTGTTGTGAACTGACCTTGTATATGCTAACTTCCCTTCCCATCGGGCAGTTCCCTGCCTCCAGCCTTGTTGATACTGTAACCAGCAGGAGAATTTCTGCCCAACACACAGACTCCATCACTGTGGGGAAACCCATAGAAATCTGTTTCAGATCATTGTCCCCACCTCCTCCCATCCTGTGTATGTCCTCCCACCCACCCCCCCTTTTTTAAGTAAAATGTAAGTTCAGTCTGCTCTAAACTGTGAGGAGTTTTTACTATCTCCACATTTTCTCACTTCTCCCTGCTCTTTTGAAACACAAGGCCGTTTCCACCCTCTCAGGTGTGTTGTGGATTGCCTCACCCCAAAGGAAAGACCTTTATCTGAAAGTAAAACATCTGGGTGGAACAAATGGGGGCCTGTGGGACACAGAGATGACTGTCACTCTGGGATAGGAGTAGCCTGTTGTCAATGCCAGAGTTCCCTGCTGTCAGTTGGAGTCTGCAGGAGGGAGTTGTGCAAACCACCTCCCATAAGGAGACCCATTAGGGTCTCCTGCCCTGCTCCTGAAGGAGAAAGGAAGCCTCCTGGCCCTGGGAGAGACTGTCCTCAGGAGAACACCTTGAACAAATGGCCCAAATGTGCTGTCTGCTTATGGGGAGGTGACTTTGTGACTGCAAAGCCAAAGTGAGCCAAGAGGCCAGAGCATAGACAGGTCCCTTATCTACACAGGCATTTCCTAAGCAGGAACCCTGGGGGACAGTGCAGGGAGCCTCTCTACCCTCGTACAGTGCTTGGTCCAGTTTTAAATCTGCTCAGTTATGTGTTATGAGTGCTCAGTATATGGTCGTTAGGCACATGTTTAAAGGATTAAACAAGCAAAAAACCGATTCAGTGATACTGGTGTGGCTGACACTAGCGGGCTGGGGATTGGGCTCAGTGGTACAGTGTTTGCCTAGCCCAGAGGAGGTCCTGGGTTTATGCTCACAAAAAAGTTCTCGGTCACTGGTTCAAGTCTGCCAGCAAGACCTTGTCTTAAAACAAAAACAAAAAATTTTCTAAATGTCCCCTTATTGGAGGGGGGTGTTCCTCTCTCTCTCTCTCTCTCTCTCTCTCTCTCTCTCTCTCTCTCTCTCTCTCTCTCTCTCGCATCCACTTAAGCTCCAAAGAAGTGTCATAAATTTTAACATTTTACCTAAATAGAGGTAAAGCACCTTCTTGATCAGTTTGTATTATATCCTTTACCACACACAGATGCTAGGAGCTGCCCAGGTAGTGAATTAGGCTCCAGGGTTGTGGCCTTCAGAACCCCACCCCCCCACTGAGGGCCACTTCCTCCAGGTAAGATAGGGAAGTCACACTGGAGTCTTCTTACCAGGGACCTTTCTGCTGAGAAGTTCAGAGTGTTGGTAAGTCTAAATCCTTTCATGGGGGGGGGGGAATAATGTCAACATCTGTACTGTAATTTATGAACTTTGTTCAAAGAAACACCTTCAGTAATTGGGTCCGGCCCTGAACCAGGCATTATAAGAAGTATGGCCTCTGCCCACTAGAAACTTGTGATTTGGTGGGGAAAGTAGCCATATAACGGGTGGCCATGTGTCCTAAAATATGGGTGGGGGTTTTCAGGGGTGCGATGGCAAACGACATTGATAACTGAGATTTTGGGGGCTTGGAACTAATCAGGAAGTCTGTCCTGGTAGATGTGTTCAGAAGACTAATGATGAGAAAGCCTAGGCTGTGAAGGAAATGGTCCCATCAGAAAGCAGCCAGGGCTGGCTTCCTGGACTCCCTCCAGTATCTCAGTTAAGAACAGAGCTCCATCCACTCCCCACAAGAAAAGTACACACCTTAGCCCAAGGCCACAGAAGCAGGCACTCTTTCCAGATAATCACTCTAGACAGGTCAGTCTGGTCCAGAGTTGAGGTAGAGTTAGCCATCACTTATTTACTTAGGGAACAAAGGCAGAAGGGACTGTAGGGGGTCCCTGCCTCCACCCGAACTCCATCGCCACTGCCCATACACACTGGGGTTCTGCGGGGGACAAAAATCTTAAAAAGAGCTGAAGAGAGAACTCAGTGATTAAGAACATGGGCTGCTCTTGCAGAGACCCAGATCTGATTCCTAGCACCCACATAGTGGCTCACAACCATCCGTTACTCCCGTTTCAGGGGGATCTGAGGCCCTCTTCTGACCTTCCTGGGTACTGCATACAGGTGGTACACTTAGTATGCATGCAGGCAAACACCCATGTACATAAAAATCTTTTTTTCTTCATCATCAAAACATGAAGACCTTCAAGTTTATAGCAATCACTTGGTGACTGTCAACCGGGGCCTCAGCATGGTGTGAAGTGCTCTGACTTCCACTGGCACGGTGAGCCAGGAGCTCTTTCCTCCTAGCTCCCTGGTCAGACTGGGGGCTCAGACCAGGGAAGGCTTTGGTCAGAAGAGTTCAGTGACACTTAAGAAATAACATTTAAGGTTATGTGTTGCAAGGGACAGAAAACAAGCAAAGAAGCTCTCATTCACAATAGCATCTTCTGCTCCATGGTAGGCTGTATGTTTATAGACACCTTCAGTACAAGGGGGTGGGGGGGGCAGTGAAAAGCAAAAGCCAAACTCTAGTGCACGAAGAAGTTTCACTAACAGTAATTTTCAAACTACTTCATCAACTTGCAGAAGCAACCACACACATGCAAAAAGAAATATAAAGGTCATTTCACCCACAAAAAGCAAAAAAAGGAAACCATAGTCGGACAGACAGCCTTTATGCTTTAGAAAGGCAGTTTGCCTTGTTTTTATCCTATTTCTACTGCCAAGTACATCCATGCTCACCCATTGAGAGTTATGCCAGCCATCAGGGGAAGAACTGAGCAAATAAATACACTGATGGCTGAGGCACCATAGCCAAGCCTTGTAATCCCAGCACTCAAGAGGCTTAGGCAGGAGAATGGCTGTGGACTACGGAGTCAGACTTTGTCTCAAAAAAGAAAAATGAAAAGATTCCATCAAGAGAGCAGTTCCTCACTGTCCTCCATTGTGATCAGAGCCTGGATCCCCACCCCTAAAATATCCCTTAGCCTCACACCCCAGAAACCTTAGCGATAAGCAAGAAAGCACAGCTGAGCGAAAGGCACTAAGCGTGTACTTACAGGGAAACTCTTTAAGTATGAGATTTTAAAATGCTTTAAACCAGTAGCATGGAAGCATACTGGAAATGGTAACGCTGGGTGAATGTGGTGGGAATGCATGGTACTTGAAAAAAAATGTCATAATGAAATATTTACACAATGAGTATATACACATTAAGGAATTTTTTAAAACTAGTAGTGGCAGGGCACTCAACAGACATGTGCCAGTTCCTGGGTTCAATTTCTAGCACTGAAAAAGTCAAAACAA